AATCTTAAAATTTTTAAAATTTTGACAAATTTTACGATGTAACCTCTTATTTTTTTTTAATTTAAAAATTTTGTTTTTGACTATATCGATTCAGCTGTTCATGCTGATCAAGAATATATATAATTTATAGGGTCGGAAATGATTCCTTCACTGCGTTCCAACCCTGCAGTTCCAATAAAAAAAATTACGTATACGCACTAGTGTACATTTTAATTGATCATAAATAAGCCAAAAATGCATTAATTTCAATTCGGAAAACTGTTCTGTCTTAGGTTTTATTAGTTTATTAAATCTGCATACTTATTTTACAAACTTAGAAAAATCAACATTTTTTAAATTTTTGAACATTTTAATGATGTAACAAAACCTTAAAAATTAAAAAAAAATTTTCTACCAGACATGGCTGCTGTTGATGCTGATGCTGATTGATGCTGATTAAGAATATATATGATTTATGGGGTCGGAAATGATTTCTTCACAGTTTTACAAGCTTCTGACTGAAATAATAATGCCCCACAAAAGTATAATAATTACAAGGTTTGAAAAATGTATTACGTACATTATCAATTTAAACCAAATCTATATCAAATAATTTTAGTTTAGTATCTATTCCAAAACTTTATGTTTAAATGCTATCTAAGTTCTCAAGATAATCAAGCAAAATTTAGCTCTAACACAGACTGACATCCGTGCAATTGAAACTGATTAATGAGGTTTCCGAGAGTTCCCCATCTTTATTTACCTGACATTGAGACAGTTCACATGCAATCGGCATTAGGGAAGTGCCTTGGCTGTACAGATAAAAAAAGAAATAACAGAAGATATCCGCCTCATTTGTAAGTCGTCGCAGTCAACAATTGATTTATGCAGATGGATGATGGTGTTCTAAAGGTTGCCATTGCTGTCTAGGTAAAATAACTCGAATCGAATTACTTGAGCCGGCGGCAATTCGATGCTGTGTGTCACAGTTACCAAGATCTCTACTCTTCTCCTAACAACAATTTTCCACTGGGTGCTGCATGTGGGAATCGCCATAAATTAAATGGCCAGCACAATCTGTCAGTGATAAAGAGCACACGATGTTCTAGACAGAACCGCAGCAGGCAGCTCCAATTGCCGGCTCCCAAGATGGAAGAAGATGTCGCGACACTGCAAAAAAAATATACTATACTAAAGGAAAATATATATAAATGTATATTATTTAAAGAAGAGATAACAACAAGCCTTAGCATAACCTATTGAAAGAGATCTTCGACTTTAATATTTTATGTGAATTACTATTTTAAATTTAGTCAACTCTACAAATCGATTATAAAATCTAGACTTGTTTAATATCAGCCAAAAAAATGTATATCAAATTTTATTTATAAACTTTTATTTCATTTTATCAATAACCCAAAAATAATCCCTGTGTATCCTGAATAGCAACCGCAGACATACACTAATTGTCTAATATAAAGTATACAGAAGACGATGCTACACTGAACTAAAATAATTAATAATAATAAACCAAAATAACAACAATATATAAAAGATACAACAAAACTTAAAATAATATTTAATAATGTATGTATTATATTATATTATTCATTTATTCATTAAATAGTATTTTATCAACCAATATTTACTTCTAACTGAAGTTTACATGACAAGGAAACATATTTTATTACTTTATTATTGTGTTATAAAATAATTTTTTCTATTTTTAATGCTGTAATTAATGAAGTGGCAACACGTTGTAATTAAAAACATCTTGATTAATAGCCTGATTTAATTAAAATAAATAAAGATCAATTATATAGTTACAAAACTTAGTTAGGTTAACAATCAATCCTAATTTTTGTATGGATTTCTTAACCAATTCAATGCTTCTTCTGTCCCAATGTCCAAGTTATCCAAGTCACCGGCAGTGGCAGCCAGTTGCCAGTTGCATGTTCAGAAGAAGCAAAGTGGCATCTTTGGGCCTCTCTCTCTCTCTGTCTAACTCTGTTGGCCATTTTCTCACCTGCGGCGCTCAAAAGGTGACCTCGACCTGTCTAGGACCGATATGTTCTGTGCCGGTGAGCAGAGATACTACAGTGAATGTATGTACATATATATATATTTGAGGGGCTCCACTGTATTATTTATTGGCATTCAGTGTGGCAACAGTTGGTTCTCTTGGCCATGTTTTATGTCTATATATTCTAAAACTGCATAGATTTGTATCAATTGATAGCAACGAACAGAACTTGGTCAGCGGCAATGGAAAGGCAACATGCAATCGCTTTTTGTCAAATTGAAGGTAGCTTCTATGTTTGCCCCCAACATAGTATATATATATATGGATCCAGTCAAGTCGGGGCACCTTGACAAGCCCAGGCACGTCTTCCACCGGCAATTGGCCAGAGATGCTGGCCCACAGATGATGATGATGATGATGATGATGATGATGATGAAGCTGGAAGCCCAGCTCAATTCGTGTGCCTCCGATGATTGTTTTCCTCGCATTTTGGGTTTATATTTCTTGGATTCTTAATTCGGCTTATACTCTCACAGAAAGGGTTTAAGTTATTACATATGATGTGATACATTTTTTATAAATCAATTGAACAAGGATGTATTGTTATTTAGTTTATAATAAATGCATATTCAATTAGATTTTATTTGATTATAAAATTACATTTTCAAGAACTTGTCTTCAATTCTTTATATTTTAAATCAAAGCTAAATATTAACAAGTTTTCATAAATATTTAAAAAAGAGGAAGTGCCTTAAGTGTGAATTGAATAGCTTAAAAATTTTAATCAATGAAATCCTTCACAAGTTCTACGAATATTTAAATAATATTTCGTGGTTTTAATATATATATATTTCTATACGAACTAATTAAGTAATCATTCCCAATACTCCTACACACAAAATACTCATAGGAACTTGAGAGTACTTAAGAGTATTTCCAAGTTCAATTCATTAACAAGTCTGCATATTTTTTGTACTTTATTGTATTGTATTTCTTCTTGCCAAATTATTCGACTAGTCAGAATGTGCGGAATTAATTAAACGGCTTAAATAAGATGTACTAACAATTTGTTGCTAATGTGCCAATCAATCGCTTCTCCCCCGAAAAGTTCACCGGAGAACAAGGAGTGTGCATTGCAAATTAACTTTTGCATCATCATCCTCATTGGAGGTACATCGTGCATGAAAACATCCCCAGAGAATCAAATGGAGGCACATTCGGATCTGCCCCAAGAAGCAAAATAAAATACAAAAACGGAAAGAGAAACGAAAATATTGTAATTTTAATATTAAATTAATGTTGGCAAGTCGCGTTAGTGTTGTTATTGCAGCATGTGGCGTGCCACAAAATAATTTGCGAATTCAAAACAAAGTGGGTCGTTCACCGCATGCCCCGTCCGTGGGTGTCTCATAAAAATGTATTTCGTATCCGCAAGGGGATATAAATGTTTTTTTTTTTCAACAAAAGCCAATGAAATTAAGAGATTTGTGAACGTGTTAAGATTGGTTCAAATGTCTCAAAGAGGGGGGCTAATATCATGACAATTATTGGTTTTTAAATAAAAGAAAAGATCATGCAGCGCACTTTGTTTGGGTTAAAATAATAATAAAGGTAAATGTGAGAGAACTTGTTAATACTAATATAATATCAATACTGTCTTGATATTTGTACAGAAGATAGATATAAAATAGATGTGTTATCAGGAGTTCGATTTACTAATTTGATTAGTCGATTCGATTTTGATTGACCTTACCTTACTCTTCCTTGGAAAGAAACAATCTCATTTGATGACAATATAAGTCAGCATTATGACATTACATATTTGCCACACTTTTTCCCAGAAAAATCAACTTGAATCCCTTGATCGTCTGCCTTTTACTTCCACTCACTCCCATTATCCATTCCATTAAGATGAAAATCCCCCTAGATTCCGCCCCTTTTTGAGGTTCTTCCCAGGCGTTAAGCGACACTAAAAGTTCATCCATCGCATCGAGAGGTGTGTGCCAAGGCAGATAGCAGAGTTAAAGCCAAAGCCAAAGCAAAAGCCATTTCCCATAATCGCAAGGCCCCCGAACGCTACGAACAGTAACGGCTTTGAACAACGACAACACGAATTTCTATGGCATCAGGGTAACAATTTTAAGGCTTGTCTCTCTCTTATGAAATAAGACGACGGCCCAAGCGGAGATTTTTAAATAATTCACAGGCGTGATTGGCCACGCTTCGAGTATATAGTATCTATGGAAAAAAAATTGGATAAATGGTCGGGGGATCTCTGCCTCTGCTTAATTTGCTCTACTCATGCAAACTCTCCTCTGAGGATCGATGGATGCCATTCGGAAGATGTCTCTCCTCCTGTTTTGGTCTTTCGGTGTCTCCAAATGTCACCGCAACTGCTGGTCTAGTTAAAGTACGCTAATTAGTCAGACAGTCAGGCCAGGTTGAGAGAGCATGGCAGACACCTGAACATGTCAAGGCATTTGTCTGAGTGCCCCCTAATCCCCTCCAGATCCATAGATCGGAGGAGACTCAAAGCGATTGCTGCCGACAGCCATTTAAGGAGCCACTCGAGGTCAGGCTGAAACACAAAACGCTAACGTATCGCTATGACTAACCAATATAGACTGGCCACAGGTGAGTTTGATCTCAAAGCACTGGCACAAAAATATTACAGGAAAAATGTAAAATTAAAAGGGGAAATTCTTTGAAATAAAATCTTTTGAAAATAGCTCTTGAAATATGTAATTAGTTTTATTATGCATCCTATAAGGTCTAAGGTATTCTTGGAAGTTTTTTAACAGCAGTTTTTAGCAAGTTATCCCTTACACCCCATCTCCTAAATCTTTAAGCCAGTATTAAGATAAGTAGAGGTCTCATACTCCCCATAAAATTCCATTTTCCCGAGTGTAAGCCAACTGGTCTATGATCTGGACTGGTCCACAGCAGCTTCCTGCTGCTAACACAGACATCATTGGCCACTGGAAAAGCAAACACAAAGTTCAATTCCAATCGAGCAACAATTGAATGCGAAATTTATTGCCGGCGATCGTTTGAATCGAATTGAATTGCGGATTCTGAACTATATCGAATATCGTATTGTTTTGATTTCGATTTTTTTGTTTGTTGTTTTGCTTGCAAAAACAAAAAAAAAAAACAAAATCCCAAGTACTTTAAAGCACACACGCTTGTCCGCAATTATCGCGGCTGTAATGGAGCATTGTGAGCATGATCATAAATATTGATCACTTCGGTGGTGGCCACTTCCTTATGGCAGGCAGACGACCAAACCATGACTCAGGCCATAGAGAGAGAGAATCCCATTGTCTGCGAAATATCAGGAATTCGAGGCCACTGAATGTTACAAATATTGCCAGTTATGGAAAGATTTTTTTGTTTAGAGTTAGTAAACTTAAAATAATATAACCACTCCTTAGCAAACTCCTTATAGTTTTCAGAATCCAGAATCACTCTCTTAGAAAATTAACCTTGACATGGTTAAGGGAGACAGGTAATCAGGATGCTAAAAGAAATTTCATATTTAAAATCTATAAATAAGAATATCTCCTCAACCTCACCGTTAAAATATTCTGTGAGATCTTAATGCGCTTCAGATTAATCACCAGATTCCGTCCCGGTGCCTTGGAGCAGCATCCGATGGCATTGAGTACGAACTCCTCGGTGATCAGTTCACAGTCCTGAAAGTCCAGGATCTTCAACTTGGGGCACTTTCGCACCAATCGCATCATACCCGTGCCCCCTGCCAATGCACACCATGTCATTCCGAATCGTTCCAATTGGCTGAGATCGTTGAAGAACTTGAAGTGATCATCATCCAGGATATCGTTGTTAGTAAACCTTAATTCCTGAAGGGAGCTCAGCTGACCCAAACAGCGGGCGTGCTCATTGGTGATCAAAAACTGTCCGGACAAATGCAGATGGGTCAGCTTGTTGCCATGATTCTCCGCCAGCACCGTGAGGAATCCAATGTTCAGCTCATTGGAGGTTATCCAGGTCTTGAGAGTGCAACGCTGCAGGTTGGGCAGTTGGGCTACCACCTCAAAGTTGGCGTCGCCGCCGGAAAATATGAGCTCCTCCAGGTTAGTGCAGGACTCGGCTATCTTTTGGTAGAGGCTCTGGCTCATCACCTCGAAGCAGCAGTCGTCGAGGTCCAGGATACGCAATGACTTAAGGGGTATTCCAAATTCCCCCGAGTTCCAAAGCAGACAATCGCGCAGGACCAGCTTCGTGAGCTTGGGAAAACCACAAAGGTGTTTTCCTAAACAATATCAATACTTGAATTCATTTAAATAATTAAAACGAATACCTTTCCTACCTGTGTAACAACCATTGACCAGTTCGAAGGACTCCAGATCCTGGTTGGCCTCTAGATCAAAGTGCAACACATCCTCGGTGTCCATGCATTCGATGTGGATCCTCTTCAAGTGCGTCATCCGCGACATAATGGTCCGATAGTGGAACTCATCATTGACATTGGAGTAATTGATCTCCTCTAGATTCGGCAATACTCCGATATGAACTCCGAGAGCAGGGACTCCTTCTGGAAGGAGGCGCAGTCCACCTGGAGGACTCGGATAAAGGGACCCGCCAGCCTGAAAAAGACAATTAAATCCGGCAATCGCATTGTCTCCAATTGCTCTATATCCAGAACATGTCGCTTAGCCCGAGCCCAGGACTCAAAGGCCATGCGGAATTTGCCAGCTGCACTGGCCAACCGTACACTATCCACCAGATGGGGCAGGAATTCAAAAATGCGACGCACCACATCCTCCGGCAGTTCCAGGACACTCATCTTGCTTGCCGGAGGCTGAGGCGGCGACGGTGGTGGTGGCAGAGGAGCATGGGATTTCTTTAGGTTCAATTGCTTTTTCGTTTTTGACATGTTGGAACTATAAATTTCGTATGTTACATTTTGACAATTACCCGATATATGAAATATAGGGCTACGATGAGCTTAAAAAATATTAAGATTGGAGAGATATTATTCCAACATATTCAGTGATTCCCATGGGTTGACCAGGCACTTCCTATGGCTGACACTGACCGCCAGCAAATCGTCATCCGTCGACAGCTGCGGGCAATTTCTCACATTCCTCCATTGTTCGCAGTAAACAAGTTTTTCTTTTGTTTGACAACAATTAATTGCATAATTGCCCGCATAAAATTGCATAAATCAATTTGCTATGATTGAGAAGTCGCCAAATGGTATATACTTATTTATTTATTTATTTTTACCGGATATGTTTGAAGAATTCATTTTCGGTTGCAACTTGTTCTATGCGCTTTATTGTTTATAATTGTAAGTGAGTAAACAATACTTAATAGCAATGCCCTACAATTAAATCAATATTTGATCTTTGAATGGGGAAATCGTTCGCGAAATTATGGGTTCAGGAAAAATTATATAGATATATTTGTAAATAATGAAATGATATATAAAGGCAACATTTTGTAAACGTTATTTTCTGTATTTAAGTATTTGAGGCTTTTTTATAGTTTATCAAATTATTTGAAACCCTTTATTGATTTATATTTTATACACATTCAATTGCAATTGCTTACATTGTGCTTGATTGCGCCTCTTAAGAATGATATTTATAGTGTTACACGATGTTTTGAAAGATTAATATAAACTAAACTTAGTTTTAATAATAATTATTTTGCTATGCAAATCGACCAAAGCGTTGTTTAAAAAAAAAGCAATTTAAAATAATAATGAATATCTTGAAATATGTCCAAGCTAAATCCAATGCGTCAACTGCATGGTTCCATCGTGTGTCCTTTGGGTATCCATGACGCTCATCTGGCGCACTAAGCGCTTCATCGATGGCCGGTGAATGGGACGAGCACTTCCGGTAGCCGTCATATCCAAGGGCGTGCGCTCATCAATCCGTGGAGCCGGCTCCCGCACCCTTCTGCTGTCCCTCATCTCTAGCTCCACTTCAGAGGCATTGTTGGATGAACCAGCCAGGACATCTAGGTTTTCATAGGAAGGCGGTTGGGATAAAACATCGCTAGAGTTGCATAGGAAATTAAATAAATAATTAAGATAAATTTAATGATAATAAACCCACGGCTTTTGAGCACAACTGCAGCAATCTTTGAGTTGCCAGTTTTTGCCAAACTCCTCGCCCTCCTCAATTGTCTGTGGTAATCGATGATGTAGTGTCTCCGGCAATCTCAATCCAGTCATTCCACCCAGCATTGAAACAAAGCCCATGATGACCAAAGGTAACTTCAGGTTCTCCTTTCCCAAATAAGTCACAAAGGGGATGACAATGAGACCCAATCCTCCGATATAACTGGAAGCTCCAATGCCAATGCCACGCACTTGAGTTGGATATAGTTCCCCGGCGAAGGGATATATGATCAGGAAGGAGGCGGAGAGCAAAGCTTTGGATATTAAATAAAGCACAAGGGTTTCATCCACGGCATCATCGGGCAGCATCACTGTTATCACACATGCCACACCACTGGAAATAAAGATTGGAGTTTATAATCGGAAAATAAAGCACATTCTCCATCCCTACCCTAATATCATGGATAAACTCAGGGGCCACCTTCGACCCCAGGTATCCATAAAGTACCAGCAGCACAGATAACTCGGAAGCTCCACGACCGCCGACAGGAAGAAGCTCACATACTGATTGGTGCCCAGCGAAGGTCCATAGTAACTGAGACCCAGGTAGACAGTCTCGTTGGCAAACCAACTCAGCGTAATCAGGATGGTCTTCAGGCGCATATTGGGAGTGCGGCAAAGATCCATTAGCCCCACATTGGCCACCTTTTTCTTCTGCTTCTTGAGCTTATCCCGCCGGATTTGGGCCTCCAGCTTAGGTGTACTGCCTCCGGGAATTGCCTGCCATTAACCTTGGCCATACTCTCCAGAATCTAAGAGCTTCCTCCAAACGACCACGCATAGGAGCCAACGTGGTGACTCGGCATCACGAACATGTACAGAAATAGGCATAAAGGGCAGCGAGGTGATGTAGGAGAGGCGCACCCAATCCCGTTCCAGATATGTGACCACAGAAAGCAGCATAATGCCCGAAGTGTAAAAGGTGCACGTCATCACTGTCACAAAGGAGCGATAGTTCTCCCCCACCAACTCGAGAGCTATAAAGTTTAAGAAGAAATAAATTATATTTTACAATTCTCACTCACATATAATGAAGGGTATCTGATAGACGGCCGGAATGGTGAGTCCCACGATGACACGACTGCCGCCCATGTCCAAAAGTCCGTACTCAGCGAAGTCAACAGGCTGCCCGCCAGCAATGTGGCCAAGCAGGTGAAGTAGGAGAGCCTCCTTCCGGCGCGATCATTAAGCAATCCAAAGAGATAGACTCCAACGGGTCCGCCAGTATTGAGAGCAGCCAGCCAATTGTGGGATAGATATCCTGATCGCACACTAAATCAAACTGGGAATGGTTTAAATAGATGTATTACTATTCTGGATTGGGATTAATGTCACATAAGATGCTTGGGAAATGATGATGCAAGCCAGCTTCTCCTACACGAAGGATTTCGGTGATGTGGGAGATGTAGGAACAATGTTCTGGGTAGGCCGCACATCTATCACTATCGAGGACCAGACACTGCTGGTATTGTACTCCCAGCCCTGGCTGCACTTAACCAATGGCCAACTGATGTTCGATTCCATGGAGGTCAAGATATCTCCACTCTTCAGACTCCAGTAGTTGTGTCCAATTGACGCCGTAAGTGAAACATTTGCTATAGACGAGTTCGTCATTGTCCTGGAAAGGGAAAAAGGGTATAAAATGTTTCGATTAGCAATCTTCAAGTTTCAATCTTTAATATTTATTTATTTTCTTCTTTTTTGTCCCCTGTCATTTCATCATTGGCCTCCGCGATTACTCGACGAACCACCCCTTATATCGACCTCTGACTCACGACAAACGCACAATCAATGGGCTGACTTGATTACCTGAGCACTCATATGGCTGCCAATGGGCACTATTACTCACCATTTCCTTGGGTATGGCCAGCGATTTGCGCTGCTCCAGAGGCATATCAAGAAGCTCCGGGATGCGACACCAATAGTCATCCGGAGTATCAGCCATAAATAATTGATTAAAGGCACAAAAGCCGCACGGAATGCAGGCAGGGAGGCAAATGCCAAAAACCAGCAGCTTCTGATACTTGCCAAACTCGCCAATAGTGGGCAGCAGGTCGTCCAAATCGAAGGCCTCCTGGTAACAAAAAAGGAATATATATGAGCCGTGGAACTTATTAGATGGGATACCTACATCAACCGAGGTCTGGGACTCGGGTTTCTGGTGTTGTCGCAACTCCGACAGCTCATCGTACTCGTCCACATCGCTGTCCACAATCTCTGACATGGATGAGCCGCTAGCCAAGCTCTGAGCTGGAAGTGTTTATTCGCACTGCCCCCGTTTTTGCAATCTGTGCCACGGAAGCCGTACTAAAGCACAACTGACAACGACAACTGTCAGTTGGTCAAGGGTTGAAGAAAGAGCTAGTTCTGTTCCCCGAAAAGCGAGCTAACGTTTTATAATTTGTATTGTTTTTTGTTTATTCTTTAGTCGCAAGTTATTAGATTTAAATAGTTTAAACTAAAGTATTTAAAATATTACAATAGAATTCATCAATCCTGCTCGAGCCACTAATTACAGTTGTTAGGCTTTGATTATTACAAATAGAGAACGGTGTTTAAAGTACTTCGGTTTTACTTGGGCTCAGTACTTTTTCTTTTCTTGTTTTTTATTATATTTTTTGTATTTTTTTTTTTTTTTTTTTTTTGGAATCGTTTATAGAAGTGAGGGGAAATGGACATTGCTAAACTTTATGCCTAAAGATTAACAGAACGCTGTGAACTATACAAAAGATATATATCTTGGACTTCAACTCAGCCATCTGCTGCTTACTGCTTAAAGATTATTGCGCGCTTCATTACATTTCATCCACGGTTTTTATGCCTGATACAAAGTATATGTTATTGTACACATATATCAATTCGTAATTATATTAAACAGAAAACTGACTGTGCCTGAAGGCGCACAGCGCAGAAATCACACACACACATTAGGCTTAAGTGTAAATTTGTGGCTACACATACAAAAATACATTCGCACAGAGCTCGTTCTCCTGCTTCTACATCTTGTTGCCTCTTTTTTATCGTTTAGTCCACCTTGACCACGCTGTAGATCTTGCGAATGAACCAGAAGCACGCAAAGAATCCGATGGTGCCGGTCAGCAAGAAGAAGAGGAACACCATAATGGCGGTGTAGCCAAAGTACAGGAACGTCGAGGCGCTGTCCTTGATCGAGAGCTTTGTCACAAAGTAATGGCAACAGTAGATGAACAAGTAGACAGCGGTGAAGCCGGACGTTAGGAAGGAGCGCCACCACCAGTGATAGTCCTCCGCACATAGGTGGAAGTAGCACAGCAGGATCGTTGTCTCCGAGCACGTGATGATCAGGATGAGAAAGACCAGGAACAAGAAGCCGAACATGTAATACATCTGATTTGACCACAGCGAGCTTAGGATAAAGAATAGCTGAATGAAAATGCAGCCGAAGGGCAGAACACCGCCCATGACGATGCCGGGAATAGGTTGTGTGTAAATCGATTGGTCAGGAATCTGTCGTGGAATCTGATTAGTGCGCACCGGATGCTCCAGAGCCTGCAAGTCGATATCATCTTACATTACGTCTATATCAATGTGAGCACTATTATATGCACTTACGCGTTTGCGGAATCCAAAGTAGGCACCAACGAAGGTCAGCGGTACCGAGACACCAAACCACAGGGCCAGCAAAGCGATCAATGTACTGAATGGCACAGCTCCCGAACTATTCTCGCCCCAGAGCACCAGATTCATCACAAAGAACAGCGAGAAGACCACTCTAAAAAAAAGAAAGAAAAGGTAGTTAGGTAAGTTGAAGTGTAAGTTTGATTAACAAAATCGAGAGCAAACTTACCCTGGGCAAACGATCGAAGTAAGGATAACATTACTCTTCCACTTCAGTCCACCGAAACTCTTGTAGACACGCGCTGATACGTAGCCAGCCGGTGTTCCCAATGAGACAAACAAGACCATAGAGCAGGTCATTAAAGCACCGCGATTTGCTGGCGATAGGAAACCCAAGCAGGCAAAGGCCAAGGTGACCATGGCCATCACCAACACCTGGACACCGGATCCCAGGAAAATAGACAACAGCATGCCCTTGCGGGGTGGTCGGAAGACATCGCCATGGACCAGCTTCCAGCCAAACTCCTCCTGGGCATCCTCGCCGCTATCCATCTGATTATAGCGGGCAATGTCCTTGTGCAAAGTGCGAAGCATTATCATTGCCACCATGCCGCTCAAGAAGAGTACAATCACCAGCGAGTTGAGAATGGAGAACCATTGAATATTCGTATGCGGCATCGATTCCAAGATGTAATCCCAACGGGAGGACCATTTGATTGAGTCGTTCTTAACGAACTTCACACTGTACGTGTATATAATGCTTAGCTGCTCTCCAGGCTTCAGGGAGTTCTCGCTAATGGCCAGCGGCTCAGTGCTCAAGCAGTTGGGATTCTTGGGATCCGTATGTTTAATCGATTTGGGAGTAACCTTTACTGAGATAATTCGTCCACTGTTGCCGAATCCAATTCCCCAATCCTCCGACTGTCCACTGTGGTAGGTCATCTCAAGATCCACATGATTGAAGGGATAGTAATGCATGGGCTGGTTGTAAATCGAGTTTATTGGGCATCCATCGCCATCGGGTCGGACGAGGCAACCCATCGGGAAGCCAGTACCGCAATATTGTTTGCCATTTTCCAGAGGATAGCACCAGTCACAGGCATATTGTCCACAATCCAATGATGCTGATAGTTCAAGCTAATGCCTTCTTCAATACCATCATCAGTCGGTTGGAAATAGCATCGCCACCCTTGTACTCCTTGGTACACGCCTGTTAAAGAAAATAACAGATATAATAGGTCAGATTCGATTCGATCGTGGAAAAAGCATGTTCGAAGCCAAAAGAGACAGCGATAATACCGTCCAAATATAGTCAAGTGAATCACAGATTATACAATTGGTGTTTGTCCCCTAGTTTAACTTATTAACTTACCACAGCACATGGCTGATTCTCCAGGAAATGGATATTGTAGGGTCCCGGACGAATACGCTCGCCAAACACAACCTGGCCCAGATTCTCCACCGGAGAATTTTCCTCCTTGCCCAAACAGAAGTCGAAGTGATGGTACTCATAGGGTATGATCGATTCCTCCGTGTTTAGCCGGTTAACGTACAGCACAACATCCGACTGGAGAAGATAATAAATAAATAAAAAGATCAATCAATATGTTTAGTCGATTCTTCGCCTTATAGGTTTCTCTTTAATCTTATCTGGCAGTGCATATGTCACGTTTATCGGTGTTTCAGAAGATTAAAAACTATGAAAACTATGTATATTTGTAATGATTTCATATGACCGAGTTATTGGGATTGCTGTTAAAGTTGTCTTATCTGGGAGTTAAGAAAAGTAACATTATTATTAAAGCCCTATTGTAAATATACATTTTATAATACAGCGTCTAATTTGGTGATAATAACTATCATTCCTAAATTAATTGGGTGCCGCATATTGATTGCCTCCGATCTAATAGTCTAATCTAAAAGTAAGGTATTTAACTATCTAAGCCCAGTGAAATAGGAAGAAAAAATATGTAACATCATGTGCGATAGTAATAGTTTCAAATGCCTGTACATTTTACTGATCTACCTAAACACATGAATTTCTTTTAGGACCTTATCTAACTGAAGGCCACTTATCCGCATAACAGACGCACCCACAAAAGAACCAGCTGAAACAACAGACCCGCGTTAACTTAGGAATCGGAACACTTACTTCTCGTTTGGAAGCGTGTCGAAAAACGCAAACTAACAACGACGGCGACGACGTCAGCAGCGGAGATGTAGAACTGGCAGGGAAAAGATATTAACTGCCGGCGGTGGCTGTTACTCTGCGCCTGCCTGCCTTATCAGCGCTTCCGTTCCTGACCGCCATTAGAGGAATTCATCATCAGAACACTGCCACTACCCTACTTTGCTTGCTATTTCCACTGATATTGCTAATTGTTTCGGCCGTAAAACAAACACACACCCGCCGCCACCGCCGCACTCACATACACTTACCTTGCATGTGGAGGAGCCCTCGCCCTTTTTGCAGAAGTTCACCGGCGCCAATCCGGGCAGGTAAAAGGCTCCGCCGGGCCCAGCAGAGGCAGGAGGACCTGCATCAGCGTGATGAAGCCGAAGAACACGAACATCTTGAAATTGTGGCAAAGATTCCCAAATTGCTTCGATATGTCTGTCGCCCTTTCAGCGGCTGTAACTGGAACGTGGGTTGCGCCACCTGTCCCTAGCTGTCCCACTAATTCTCCGAAGAACAGTCGGATGGCGAACCGCTTGCAAAGAGATCCGGAGTTATTTACTCAAATTATTCTGTTTTTCGAATGTTTTTACAACGTTTCTCCTATTTTTTGGCCGAACGTCAGCACTGCCTTGACAGTGTTGTCACCTAGTCCAGCTGACCGGGCTGCCAACTTGTGTGTGTGGAGTGGCAGTCCCAAACAGGGCTACGAAATCCGCACGCTAAGCAAACCAATTTTAATTCAGTTTAAAAGTTTTAACTCTCTTTCAAATACCAAAATAATATGGAGCTTCCAGTTTTTATTTTGCTAGATTACGAACTAGTTATTTTTGTTTATCCCAAATAATTCAAATTCAACTGACAGTTGCAGAGAAGCTTAGTGTTGCCACCGAGCCTTGAGCTTTTGGTATATTTTAGCCTATTTCATATCGTTTGCAACGCCGGATAGTATAGTTCGCGCGCGGTCACGCTGTTCCATTCAACTCATTTTTAAGGCAGCAACTAAAATCTAGTGCCCCCGCGATAAAAGCAACGATTTTGTGAACTTCAACGACAAATATAACTAAAGGAATTCCGATCAACATCCAGCGCTTTTTGGCAGGTGGAACCTTTGACTAAGCAACAGCCAATAGGTGAGTTAACTGTGATTCGCAATCAGCTTGGATGTGTGTGTGCACACGAAAAAATCAATTTCGTGACGTTCAAGACGTTGCAACCTGCTCAAAGTAGTCGCTGTAAGGTTAAAATGTATTAATTTACGTTCTGTATCAATTTCATCTGCAGCCGCTTGACAATTGTCTAGTAATTACGCAAAAATTCCGCCACTCACACATATAGACACACGCCACCCCCCTCCCTCGAACGCAACGACGTGCAGAAAGAAACGGAAAGTAAAGTAAAAAGAGGAGAAAAAGAGCGCAAAAATGACTTCCGACATAGCCATGCAACTGATTGTCATTTTGGAGAAGACGGTGTCGCCAGGTGAGTTGCCTTGCATGTCTACGCCTAGGATATTGTTAAGTTTCGCCCAGGGTTATTCTCGTTTCTTCATTGAATTCGTTTTTTTTTCTCGGGAGGGACGCGCGCGTTGTATGTTGCGCAGGGTTGCAATAGGCGCTCGCATATGTTTCGTTGCTAGGGGAACACACACACATAAGCAGATTCCCTTGTCGCGCGGACCGCGCGCTTACATACATATGTGCGTATGTATTCCGGCACATTAACGCGCTTCTACAATTAAGGATTTATAAACTGCGGCGGTCCCCGACATAACCTCAAAGCGGCAGGAATAAACTTTCAAGGCTTGTCAATCGTGGATTTTTCTTAACCTTATTTTAATGCAAAATATGCGACTGGTTCTTCCGGCGATATCCGCACAGGCCATTATTATAGGCTCCTCATTATATACATTTTTTTTTTTTCGGGAGCCCCCAAGATAACAGTTTCCACTACACTAAAAATAAATAGGCTAAGTTTAAAGGCATGAACAATAACACATTAAATTCTTCATAAAAATATTTTTCGTTTAGTAATTATCAAATATTTCATTAAAAATATAAATTGTACTTTTTAGTTTTAATTAATATAACATCTTCATCTTAATTATAAAATGTAAATATATAAATATCCTAAAGATTTCATTAAATAGCAATTATTTTAAGCAAACTCTTGAGATATTAAAACAATCCACATATTTCAGATAAAAATGAATTGCTTTCGGCAAAGAACTTCCTGGAGCAGGCGGCAGCCAGCAATTTGCCCGAGTTTCTCAAGGCGCTGTCGGAGATCCTGGTGAACACGACAAATAGCGCTGTGGCTCGCATGGCAGCCGGTCTCCAACTGAAGAACCACTTGACCAGCAAGGACGAGAAGATCAGTCAACAATATGAGGAGCGCTGGCACCAGTTCCCCACCGAGATTCGAGAGCTCATCAAAAATAACGTAAGTTTGCTAAAAACAAACTAAAAATGTTCATGCTAACATATTTAATGCCTTGCCATGTACCTATATCTTATAGATCCTGGCTGCTTTGGGTACCGAGAACACGCGACCCTCTTGCGCCGCCCAGTGCGTGGCATACGTGGCCGTTATTGAGCTGCCCATCAATCGTTGGAATCTGCTCATCCAGACGTTGGTCAACAAGGTGGTTAGCGAGGGATCCACCGAAATGCATCGCGAAGCGGCCCTGGAGGCCATCGGCTACATTTGCCAGGATATTCGGCACGGGGTAATGGAAAACCAGGCCAACGATGTTCTCACCGCCATTATCCATGGCATGCGCAAGGTGGAACCAAGCAACCACGTCCGATTGGCGGCCACCACAGCGCTGCTCAACTCGTTGGAGTTTACCAAGTCAAACTTTGAGAAGGACATCGAACGCAACTTCATTATGGAGGTGGTGTGCGAGGCCACACAGTGCCAGGACACGCAGATCTGTGTGGCGGCGTTGCAGTGTTTGGTCAAGATTCTAACCCTGTACTATCAATTCATGGAGCCCTACATGGCACAGGCTCTGTTCCCGATCACTTTGGCGGCGATGAAATCTGACAACGATGCGGTGGCTCTGCAGGGCATCGAGTTCTGGTCGAACGTGTGCGACGAGGAGACAGATCTCGCCATCGAGAGCCAGGAGGCCACGGATCAGGGCAGGGCACCGCAGCGGGTATCGAAGCACTATGCTCGCGGCGCTCTACAGTACCTAACGCCCGTCCTTGTCGAGAAGCTGACCAAGCAGGACGAGTGCGATGATGAGGACTCGTGGAGCCCGTCAAAGGCCGCCTCCGTCTGCCTAATGGTACTCGCCACTTGTTGCGAGGACGAAATTGTTCCGCATGTCTTGCCGTTCATCAAGGAGAACATCGAGTCGCCCAACTGGCGCTACCGCGACGCAGCGGTCATGACCTTCGGATCTGTGTTGACCGGACTAGAGACAAACACCCTAAAGCCGCTGGTGGAGCAGGCCATGCCGACGCTTATCGGCTTAATGTACGACAGCAGCGTCAATGTGCGTGACACTACCGCCTGGACCTTTGGCCGTATCTGCGACGTGAGTAAAACTAAACTAAACATTGTGGTCGCTCTGGATATTTTTTCTAATCTGCAAATTTTTTCCCATTTCAGACCATTCCCGAGGCGGCCATCAACAAGACATATCTACAAACACTGTTGGAGTGCTTTGTGAAGAGTTTGAAGTCGGAACCACGTGTGGCCGCCAATGTCTGCTGGGCCTTCATTGGTCTCTCGGACGCTGCCTATGAGGCAGCCGTGACCACCGAGGGCGAAACTCCGGAGACATACGCACTGTCGCCGTTCTTTGAGTACATTATAACTCAGCTGCTGGTGACCACCGATCGCTCGGACGGAGCTCAGGCCAATTTGAGGGGCGCCGCCTACGAGGCACTCATGGACATGATCAAGAATTCTCCCTTGGATTGCTACTTGGTGGTGCAGCGCACCACACTTGTCATATTGGAGCGTTTGAACCAGGTGATGCAGATGGAGACACAGATCAATAACCACAGTGATCGTCATCAGTTCAACGATCTGCAATCGCTGCTCTGCGCCACACTGCAGAGTGTGTTGAGAAAGGTCCATGAACAGGATGCCCCTCAGATTTCCGATGCTATTATGACCGCCTTGCTCACCATGTTCAATTCGAGCACTGGAAAGGCTGGTGGCGTACAGGAGGATGCATTCCTGGCCGTTTCTACTCTGGTGGAGCTCTTGGGCGTTCAGTTTGCCAAGTACATGCCGGCTTTCAAGGACTTTTTGATCATGGGCCTAAAAAATCACCAGGAATATCAGGTGTGCTGTGCCTCTGTCGGCGTTACCGGTGATATCTTCCGTGCGGTTAAGGATTTGATGGTGCCCTACTGCGATGAGATTATGTCCGTGATGCTGACCAACTTGGCGGAGCCAACTTTGCATCGCAGCGTCAAGCCGCAGATCCTGTCCACCTTTGGCGATATCGCTTTAAGCATCGGCAGCCACTTTATCAAGTATATTAACGTGGTGCTGGAAATGCTACGCGTAGCCTCCAATCTGCAAATCGATGCCAACAACTATGACATGAATGAATACATCAACGAGCTGCGCGAAAGTGTTCTGGAGGCCTACACGGGTATCATCCAAGGCTTGAAGGGCATGGACCAGACTGCACATCCTGACGTAATGCACATGGAGCCCCATCTCGGTCATATCATCAGCTTCATTAAGCGCATCGCTCAAGATGGCGACGTCTCTGATTCGATGATGGCCAGCGCCGCCGGCTTTATTGGAGATTTGTGCACGTCCTTTGGATCACGTCTCTGTCCTCTGTTGGACGATGCGATCATTACCCACTTCTTGGTCGAGGGCAAGCGGTCCAAGGGACAGCGCACCAAAATGCTGTGCACCTGGGCCGTTAAGGAGATCAAAAAGATTAACAACCAGGTCATTACGCAGTAAATCCCATGCTCTAGAGGTTAATGTTTCCTCCCTAACCGCCTCATACCACCTGAAATAATTGTATGTTTTGCAGCCAAACTGGTAAGTATTAATATTTATGATATTTTTCTGTAGTTCATCGGCAAATGAATAGTGAATTAGAATGTGTCGATTTTATAGTAGAAAGAAAACTTGCTTTTCGAGGATGCTACATAAATGTACAGCGATTTGATTTAACTTTATAACTCTATATTAGAATTTATACAAACTTTAGCAAAGTAAAGTTCATGTTCCACTTAAGAGTCGACACATTCTATAAGCTTAAACATGATTAAGATTTTGATTTTTTCACCATTCTCTTATTTTTGCAGTCCAGTCCGAATTCTCTAATAAGAAACTATGAATCTATTTACTAAGTTTGTTTGTCCGATCTATATTGTTGCTGTGCAACGTTTAAACGCTAAGACACATTGTTTATAAAACCCCAAACTAGTTGTAAGCTGTATCCTGAATCCCCATTAAGATTTAATTAAGCCCCGTTGACCCATATAGCGATTCCAAAAGCAGGCTGTGCCCACTGACTAAAACACAAATTACTTTCCTCGCCACAACAGCAAATTATGACAATTATTTAAGAACGCCTTGAGGGGGCAGTATTGTGTCTTTTGAAATCGCTCTTGTTTCTGGCGATTTTTAGCTCCGATTTTAGAGATTACCAAAAAAAAATATTTAGTTGAAAGTTGTTATAAAATTTTGTAAAAAATCGGTAGAAAAAAAACCAACATGATTAAATATGCTGCAATGCAACTCTATGGAAACATTAACTTATAGCAGCTAACTGCACAATACTTTAATTTTTAAGAAAAATTTCATGTAAATCCCACTATCCTAACTACCCAAAAAAGGAGAAAAAAAAACTAAAAAAAAACAGCATGAATGACCTGTGTGCGATTTGTGAACTGAATGTGATGAGCTGAGAGCGAGTATGTACTATTATCTTTAAGTCTGAGGAATAACTGTTGTCCGACACCTAATGCCTATATATTTATAGTGTGAATCTGTGATGGATGCTTGCGAGAAACTGTAAAAGGTCTTGTGATTGAGAAAATAAACCCACGAAAATGATTATGTATGAAAATGGATGAATATGACTTCCTTTTCCTTTGGCGCGCGTGTGTTGGCGTGTGTTGTGTGATATTATGAATTAAGTCTAAGAAACGAATGGTTCTAGAAACGTAAGCAAATCAAAAAGATTTTAAACGGATTTCAATTTAAATTTACACAAAGAAACGAAACGAAACTAAATGTAACTCACTCAATGACGACTGAAAACAAAACAAAACAAAAGAAAAGAAATCTTAGCAACTAAAAAAACGAATTACGAAATGACTTTAGGACGTACAAAGGCAAGGGCGTGGAATGTTGTCACAGAAATCGCTATGGATTTGAATTCAATTAAATTTGTAACCAAAAGTATGCGCTTCTGTCAAAAATGGAACTTATTTCATACATTTTGACACATTTTTCATTGTATTTAAATCCGCTGATAGCTTCAAATAAAACGAAAACAAAAGAAAAGATAAAACCAATTAATATATATATAAATTTCTTGCAACTTCCACGATCTTGCCCACAAGCAACACCACAAAAAAATATAAGAGTAACTCTAATTATTTTATTTTTTTACAACAATTAAGTGTGCTCTCTCATTAATTCCAACCAATGACGCTTAATTTTTGCTTCTCATTTTATGTTATTTTTGTAATATTAATGGAACAACGAGAAATAATAACAAAAAGAAAAAACAACAACCAAGCAACTACCTGCAGCACACAAAAAAACATGTGTAATTAATATATATATAAATATTAGGTAAACGAAAGATACTAAAGCTAAAACACAACGGACCAGGGTATACAACAAAACAAATGCATGCTTTATTTTTATTTTCCATAGGAATGTAGAACGCGCATAAAGACAAAGACAAAGGACACTTGGACACTTATTTCAAAGACGACGCACACTCTTATTTTGTACTTCTTTGCCTCATAACATAACCAGAAACTACCTTACAAAAAAGACGCGACTGTGAACGAAATGAGAAAATAAAATATACAACATCAAGTCGAAAACTAACCGTTTAAAATCTTTTCAAAACATTTCATTTACATTAAGAGCAAGCGAAACCAGTGTGAACTGCTTTAGATTTAAGCGCATCTCCTATATTAAAAAATAGAATATAAACAAAAAACAATCAAGAACTCGTTAAACAAAGCTTGATCCGAATGTTCAACCTTTGTTTAATGAATTCAAGTAGCCCAACAAGTTGTCATTTCAAAAGAAATCTACTAATTGGTAATAATGTTTTTCGTTTCGTAATAAACGAAATATCGCACAGCCGTCCAAACGAATGAAAAATAAATGTTAAATTGATTCAACAGATTTCAACATATCAAAAAATTTGGGTTTTGAAATGGCAACTTTAATGAAATCATCTTGTATTGCCAAAATAATATAGAATTAAATAAATATTAGAGCTTTGAATGATTGGATGCGGATGATGAAGAACTTTGTGTCTACCTGCCGCTTGAATGATTGGTGACTCTTTGAATCTGTGGAAGATCGAAAGCTGAGAAACGCCGAAGAAGGAGCTTGAACGTTTATGGCTGTGGTATGCGAAACGTAAGTGATGACTAGAATTTTTAAAACTCAAACTAACTAAATAATTTAACTAATTAGCTACAAAATAATGCACACATCTATTAAACTAATAATAATCACAATTCTAAATCTTCTTTTCTTTTTGCACATTCTCCGCAGGTGTGTTGATTGAATATAAAGCTTGGTGCTGATGATTATGATAATGATGCTTGTGCGTTGAATGATGATGATGATGGAATATGTGATGATTGACATTGATGGTTGTTAAAAGAAAGAAAAATTGAGTGGCTGATGTGAAAAGAGTACTGTATCTGTATCTAGAAGAAATCACCAAGAAGATCACCTAGCACAAATTTCTACCCTTTATACATACATGCTAACATATTCCTTACATTTATGATCTGTAAGAGCGTGCTTGTATTTGTGACTGAGTATAAATCTGTATGTTATCATTCCAAAAACAAATATCGAGAATCATTTAAATCGAGAACGACATTTCTGTTTGTTACATCTAGTTATTAAGAGATGATTTCATGTCATTAGATTAAGTCAAGGTTAATTGGTGAAAAAGCAAGCCTACGCCAGTGGTGGGGTGCCCACTTTTTGGGTACACCAAAGCAACAATGTTTTTAATGTCGGGCTTGCCTTTTAACCTTTACCTTTTGTGTGCAAGTGGTCGTCGTCGTCTGCTCTAAGCTTAACAATCGATAAATAAAATTAAAACGCAACTGTGTAACTTTGCCTGTGATTTGATCCTTCATGTTGTCTGCATGTGTGAGAGCGATATGATAGGATATATGTATGCTAAGATGTGAGAACAAAAGCACCACGCGCAGCAGAGAAATGATATTTTTTTGTAAACATTTAAAGAGATATGCAAATAAATACACTCACACGCACAAATGTGTGGAAGGAAAACAAATTGAAACGTAACATATGGTACTGATTTTATACTGAGAACTGAGACTTACTATATACATATACAACAACTACACAACCTACAACTTACCCAAGGACTCACGAGGATTACTTTACGCGGGACTCTACACAACGACCACGTACTCTATACCACATACATACTTACACCAAACGCCAACTAGTGAAATTTACACCAACATTACAATTACAATTACAACCTACTATATGCATTACCTAAATACATATGAGCATTATAATGAATTATCTTAAATATACACGGACAATTGGAGACGCTGACGCGCGGTGCTTTAGCCCAATTAGCTTTAAGGACATGTGCTACTCGGTATGCTAGTTAATCCTAATTTAGTCAGTAAGTAGGAAGAGCGCGAGAGAGTATAAACGAGAGCAAGAGATCGAACGTTGACCCGCGATTGCGATTGAGATCTGTAGAGGAGAGAATCGATTATGTTATGTTATATGCCGTATTATTGACTCAACCCTCTCCTCCTCAGTACCACTCCATCCTCTAATTATCAATGCGAGGCCTAAAACTGTTCGTAAGAAATTTGTATGACTGATAGCTTGTACGCGAAATTTTAGAAAATGTAAAATGTGTCTGTGTGCGAGAATAAAAGTACGTTGAATGCAAGAAACAACAAGAAATGTGTTTTATTTAAATATGTTAATATCTTTAGTGTAACATGCTGGCAATAACTTCATTTGATAAAGCTCAGAAGTAGTTTGGAATATTAAGAAGAACACAACTGTTAAATGACAAAATTTAAAATAACATACAAATCACAATTTAAACACTGGCTTAGCATTAATCTTTTACAACTTGGACTTCTCTGGAAGCTGAAGTACTCCTGACTTCAACAGCTCCTTCATCTCTTGGGGACTAAGTTCCAGTTCATCGACAAATGCCAACTGATTAACAGGTTTCTCCGGCAACTTTCCTGGAGTTCGACTTAGACGCGGCGCTGGACATGGAGCTGGCATGTCTTCGATTATTCCAAATGATTTCCGCTCTTTGTTGTGATCGTGCTTATGCACCTCCCGGTAATCCAGCACGGGGTAAACGCAGGCATCCACATCCTCAAAGATCTGTGACCATTCAGCTTGGGTCTTGGACAGAAAGGCCTCCGTTAGTAGCCTTTTCCCTCGCTCCTGATGCTTCTCTCCGAACTGGCTGAGATCTTCTGGTAGTTCTAAACGTTGTTTGAGCACCTCAAAGAACTGTGGCTCTAAGGCGCCCACGGACATGTAGAGACCGTCTTTGGTTTCGTAAGTGTCGTAGAAATATGCTCCACCATCGATGAGGTTGCGGCCTCTCTCCTGTCCCCAAATGGGCATACTCCGGGACGTAAACAGCCAGCTGGCAACATAGGCAGCTCCTTCCACCATGGAGGCATCCACAATTTGACCTTTTCCAGACTTATGGCGTTCCAAGAGAGCCACACAAATGCCCAGTGCACACATCACACTGCCTCCAGCGAAATCCGTGAGCAGATTTATGGGTGCAGTTGGCTTCTCGTGACTCCTTCCCAACATGGACAGCACACCCGATATGGCAGCATAGTTGATATCATGACCGGCCCGCGGCGCTAATCGGCCATGCTGTCCGAATCCCGTGAGACGGGCGTAAACCAGGCGGGGATTCTCCTTGCACAGCTCATCGGGTCCCAAATTGAGTTTCTCCATCACTCCGGGCCTGAAGCCTTCGATGAGGACATCACATTTGTTGGCCAGCCGACGGGCCAACTGCTGACCCCTTGGGTTCTTCAAATCCAGGCTTATTGTGCGCTTTCCCTGCTGCAGAACATCCATTGGATTCTCAAGGACCTGCGACAAATAACATTTTATCAATCGTTAGTGTGAGGAGTAAAAAAACATAATGTATGTATATGTATGAAAAATTGTAATTAAAAAAAAAATTATACGAGTCGGCCATGATGCTTTTGTTTACCTTGTCGATTCGGGTGACTGTAGCCCCGAAATCGGTCAGGATCTTTCCACATAATGGTCCCGGGGCAAGTCCTACGAACTCCAAAACTTTTATGCCCTTCAACGGCATTTTCTCCGGCGTTTATAAGCCAAATTAACTAATAAAAATATAATTTGCACTTTGGACGCCATGACAGTAGGGTTGTCAACTTGTCTCAAAAGTACGGCCCACAAGAACTTTGCAAATTTATTATGCAATTTCTTCGTGTCACGAAAAAAAAATGGTATTATGTTCTTAATTTTATAGATAAATTAAAGCAAAATCCGAGTTCAGAGATCATAACTGTTATAACTTGTACAATTTAAAACAAAAAATAAGAGTTATTTTCCTTTTATATACAAAAAAATTCAAATTTATTCCTATAACTTTTAATAAAAAGTTGTGAAATAATTATTAATGTTAAATTTTTAAACGCAAGTCAAAAAATAACTGTTATTTTCAACTCATAAAATTATAATTGCAAATGCAAATTATTCTCCAATGCTTAAATAACAAAATATTTTTTAAAGATTGCCACTTATAATTAATCTGTGTTTTAATGTGTTTGATGTATATATAAATATAAATATACTGTAAAGGTGTTACAATTAAATTTGAATTATTTTTTAAATAATAATTGACAAGTAATATTAATAAAAAATTTTTTAAACAAAAATTAGAGAACCATTTTTATTTCCAATTGGAATTAAAAAAAAGAAAATAACAGATATTACTCAACTTGAATGTTAAACTTGAAAAATAATGATTATTCAATTATTTAATTAAAATTGAATTATGAGTATTAAAAACCAATAAAAAAATAAAAAATTATTAAACAAGTTTAACTTGTTTCTGCAAAGCCCCCAAAAAAGTATTGTACATCTCCTCCATTTGCCCAGCTCAATTGTATGACAGTAATTATTATTTATTTATTATTAACTCTAATTTGTAATCCTTGTACAGATCAGAAGAGATTTGTTTGCTGCTGAAAATTAAATAATATATACACTTCCACTAGATTTTAATCCAAACAACTATATATTAACTTGTTATGATTCCGAATAGCAACCTTTGCAAAGCTCGACAACCCTCTTTTCCGTTTTGGAACTGCCAACTCGATGGAAAAGTTTAATTCGCATATGACAAGCGGCAACCACATTCAATAACAATTAACAAACGGCGAGAGCACTTTATAAAACAAATTAAGTGGAAGTGATACCAGGACCTGACCCAAAACAATGCCCCAGCAACGGCGCAAGGTAGCCTTCAGCGGCAAAAGAAGAAGGACCAGATGCTGCAAAAACGCTCAGCGAAAGGTAAGAAAACATTGCCCACCTGCGACGAACGGTGAATGGGAAAAAAGAAAACAGAGACCAGTTGTTTGGTATGACTAACAATGGCCATCGCCGGCAGTTCCGCCCAAATACCTTAGGAGTGCCCAGGAGTCGTACGAGGACAGCGATGTGCCCGAGACCACCAGGAAACTTATGGAGCAGCCCTTTGCCCGTGGTGGCAATCGGAACAAGAACGTAAATCGCTATAATCTACAGTTTTATCAGGAGGGGAAGAAGGAACTGGAGCAGATGAAGCAGGAGGGCTTCAAGCCACTGGACGCGATTAGTCCCAAGGAGCGTGAGGTGGACGAGCACTACTTCGCTGGCTGCGATTTCCCAGTGCGGCCGCCATGGACATCGGCTAACTCCAAAGAGCAACTCGATCGCAGTGAGAATCGGTACTTTAAGGTAGGTCGGGTTTCCCGTTTCCCAATTACGTGAGAAGTAATTGTAATGTTTACTACTTAATTAGTTAGTAATCAATTATGTATATCTTCGCCCTTTTAGGAGTATGTGGATGAGCTGCAGAAGAAACAACGCGCAGGCGATTCAAAGGAGCTTTCCCTGTTCGAACTCAACCTGGAGACGTGGCGCCAACTGTGGCGTGTCCTCGAGTTCTCGGACATTCTGCTCATCATTGTAGACGTGCGTTATGCCACGTTGATGTTCCCACCCTCCCTCTACGACTACATCATTGGCACGCTTAAGAAGCACGCCATCGTGGTGTTCAACAAGGTGGATCTCGTGGAGCCCCAGGTGGTGGTGGCGTGGCGGGAGTACTTCCGCAATCGCTATCCCCAGTTGCCGGTCGTGCTGTTCGCATCCTTTCTGCCACGTTCCCGCAAGGGAAGCCAGCGTGGACCGCAGGCTCATCGACGAAGCATGGAGGGTGTGTATAATATCTACAAGGAGTGCCAGCGCTATGTCCAGGGCGAAGTGGATCTAACAGCCTGGGAGCAGAAGATACGCGATGATATGCGAACCGATCAGCTGGATATCTTGGACGAGGTCACATCGGCCGTGGAGGGTGAGCTTAAGATCAGCAGCAGCATTGATACCACACCCCACGAGCATGTAAGATATCACAACGGAGTTCTGACCATCGGCTGTGTCGGATTCCCCAACGTTGGCAAGTCATCGCTGATTAATGCCTTAAAGGGACGGAAAGTGGTTAGCGTTAGCCGAACTCCCGGCCACACGAAGCACTTTCAGACCATTTTCCTAACACCCCTCGTCCGCCTCTGTGATTGTCCCGGTCTAGTCTTTCCCTCGTCGACGCCCAAAAGCCTGCAAGTGCTACTGGGAAGCTTCCCGATCTCCCAACTGGCCGTTCCGTACCGCTCGCTAAAGTTCCTCGGCGAGCATGTAAACCTGCCGCAGCTTTTAAGGCTTCATCTGCCGGAGGACTATGACGAGTGGTCGGCGGTGGCCATTTCAGATGCCTGGGCCTACAAGAGAGGCTTCCTAACGGCCAAGGCGGCCAGGCCCGATCGATATCGGGCCGCCAATCACATCCTGAGGATGTGCCTGGCCGGGCAGCAGCAGTTGGTGCTCCAATTCTATCCACCCGGATATGAGGAGCGACGAGATCATTGGTTTCAGCATCCCGACCTCGCGGAGGTCAAGAAGTATCAGCAAGTTGAGCTGGAGGAACCGGAGAGCGAGACCAACGGCGACACCTCCTCTGTGTGTTCGGACAGTGAGTACTTCAAGCGATGTCAGAAATTCTTTGACTACATTAAAATAACATTTTCCAGCTGCCGACAGTGAAGACGATGATGAGGACAGCTCCAACGATGAGACGAACGCAGACGAAGACGAGGGCGCCATTGAAGAAGATCTGCCTAGGTCACGCAATGTGTTTGCCCTCCTAGAGGATGATTAAAATATGTAAGCCGTTATTGCATGACTAGTTTTCGCCTATAATTTATTACTAAATATCCACAAAGTGGATTTTACCGAGAGCTATACAATAAACTATGTAAACCAGGCAGTTTAGATGTTATCTATTTCATCGGACGAAATGCAATCCTCGCCGAGTCTTTCATCCAGCGAGAGCAGCAGTTCAATGGCTCTGCGAAGGAAGGGGAAAATCAGAGTTTGGAAACCACAGCTCTCTGAAAATAACTCACTTGATCAACTGCCTTTCATTGCCGTTTTCTTCGATGGGAGCCGGATACAAGGCTTTCTTAAGCAACAGCTTTTCCAGATGACTACGCAGTTCCAAAACAACGTCGGCCGTCTCCTGATTGCATTTAAAGCTGCAAGAGTTACACATTAGATGTAGCTTAATACGTATGTGTCCATCCGCTTACTAATATGTTTTGGCCACGCAAAGATATGCCGTATTTTGTGTCACGCCGGCCTCCACTCCATCGCCAAAGATGATTAGGGCCATGGGAAATACCATTGTGGAGTCAAGCAAATATAGATCGGTGGACTTCTGCCGTTGGTAGTATACGAAGTATCCCGAATCGAAGCCACTCTCACCGCTGTTCACGGACGAAGGATGGAAATTGACACGGCGGCCATCATCTGTGGCCATTGAATGAATCGCCCGTACTCTATTCCGGATCTGACGAGATTTTCTGTAAATATAATCCATTAAACATGAACTACAATACTCCATATAAAACCTACCGCAAATGCGCCATGTTGGGGTAGAGACCCGCTCCGATAATGGCTCTCAGCAAAGGGATCTTGCTCGAATTTATGTTGGATATGCTGTCTTTGCAATCGGAGGAAGTGAGAAACCTGCAGAAATGGGACAATGATGATTTCATGGAACTTACTGGGAAGTATCCCTCACTTGTAGTTGTAGAGCAGCTCACTGAACTGATTCTTCATCCGTTCCAGCTGCTGCAGCGTCATTGAGCTGAGGAAGTTCTTGTAGCAGAAGTCGCGTTCCGCATGCACCTGACGACTCTCTCGGTAGGCCTGGATGGTGTTGTGCACCAAGAGGTGGTCACTTCGCATATTGCGAGCCATTTTTCGCTTGATCTCATCGACCTGGCTCTCCTTTCCCAAGGGAGCATAGAAGGGTGATTTAAAAGACAAAGCAGCCGCCGCTGAGGTAACTGGATCCAAGCAACAGAAGAGAGCCGACATTAGGATCATTTTACCCATCTGCGGTTCAATGGGCAGCTTGGCCAAGTGCATGCCCAGTGGGGTTAGGGTGCCTGAACTGTCCAGAGCCTCAATCCTAAGAAAAATCGAACTTTTCAATTGGTTTTCAAAGTAAATACAACTTCTGAACTTACCGCATCAATAAAGTCACTCCAATCCTAATTGCCTCAGGATTAGGGGCATTAATCAGGGTTTGCAGAAAGCGATATGGATCATCGATGTGCAGCAGCTTCAAACTCAAAATGATTGATTCCAGCTTTGACCGCAGAATCTCCGGCGTTGGAATCTCCTCCATTCGATCTTCCCTGGCGCGGCTAAACAGATTGTAACAGATCCCTGGTCTCACACGACCGGCTCTTCCCTTTCGCTGCTGCGTATTTGCCTTGGTCACCCACACCTCCTCCAGGGTCTGTATGTTGGTCTCTATATCGTAGTTGGTAGACTTTGTCCGTCCAGAGTTGATAACATAAACCACATCGTCAATAGTCACTGAAGTCTCTGCGATGATAGTGGATATGATGACCTTTCGCTTGCCTGACGGCGGATGCCGGAACACGGCCTGCTGCTCCGCCGACTGCATGAGGGAATGTAGCGGAAAGACCACCAGATTGTCGCGCCACCTCTGGCCTTTGGGAGACTTCGGCCTCTCCAGCAGATTGTACAGCTGTGAGATTTTATCGTAGCCCGGCAGGAACACCAAGATAGCACCCTCCGGCTCGTTTTCACAAATGTAGTACACCAGATCGGCAATAAAATCCATTTCCTCGCAGCCTTCCGACTCTGGCAGGCGTAGCTTCTCCAGGACCCGACTGTCGTATGTGTTCCTGATCCGTCTTAAATAAGGTTCTATCATCGCCTCATGCTGGATCTTTTGGTCGGGACGATTGCGCTTCGGACGACGTTCTCGAGACTTGCCAAAGCAGTAGTTCGTCATGGCCAGAACATCCTCCAGGTATAGCATCTGCACGGGAAACATCACGCCCTCAATGCGGAACATTGGACAATTGCCAAAGTAATCGCAAAAATCATGCTCCCGCACAGTGGCGCTCATAAGGATCACCTTCAGATCGGGCCGGTGCGGTAGGATTACCTTCAGCAAGCCCATGAGCAAATCCGTTTCAACGCTGCGTTCGTGTATCTCGTCCAGGATAAGGACACTCAGATTGTGCATCAGTGGATCCGATTGGAGCTGCTGCAGAAGCACTCCGGTGGTGCAGTAGGTAATGGAGGCCCTATCGCGCGGCTTTCTGCTCTCCAGGCGAATCTGATAGCCTACAGAGGAACCGAGGCTCTCGCAGCGCTCGTAGCTGACCCGCTCGGCAATGGTTATGGCTGAAATCCTGCGCGGTTGGGTGCAAATTATCCGGCATTCTGATCCACTGCCCCGAGATATAGCGTCATCGAGAAGGATCTGAGGTACTTGTGTAGTTTTGCCACAGCCAGTGCTTCCTACAATAAGAACAACTTGGTTATTTTTTACGGCCTGAACGATGTCATTGGCGTATCTCATCGTTGGCAGTTTTTGGCGAGCTTGAAGCCTCTTCCTGGCCACGTCATCCTGCAGGCGCTGTTCCAGCTCCTGCCGCAGCTTCTCGTCCAGTTTGGGATTCGTGTATCTAACGTCCGCGTTCCTCTCCTTGGTCTCCGCCACGAATTCTTCGAACTTGACGCTCAGTAGATGGCGGAACTGCCGCTTGAACTGTGCATCCACATCTGAGTTTTCTTTGGCCGGTGTTTGGTTATATTCCTCCATACACTCTTTAACGCGCTCGAGAACCCCACCGGGCACGCTGACTGACAGCTGGATTTTGGGTTCCAATGGTTTTCCTTCCTCGCCACGCTCGTTTTTACGCTGCCGTGTGAGATTGCGGTAGTACATTCCGATTTCCTTGCCCCTGAGACCAGGCGGACGGTTGCCCTTGCGGGCATAAGAGCCGGATGAGTCCTTATCTCGCTGCATTCTAGTTAAAATTTGCTCATTTCCAGAATAAAATAAAAATTTCAGCAAAATCAAAATATCCACAAAAAGTTATCGAGTTATCGCCCGGTCTGAAATCGATATTTGTTAAACACGGTAACACCATTTCCGATCATGAGCATAAATTAAGCACGGTTCATAAGAGTTTATTTATTTTCACGTTGCTTTTCCTCTAGAAAATATAAATTTTCCTCCTGCAAAAGTAGTTCTGCAAGGGGAAAATGGCGTTTTTCCTCTCTTCGAGCGGATAAGCATTTGGCCACACTACACTTTTCAAATGAAAGCCGCCGGTATTTGTCGACTATCTCGCCACGGTCACACAATAACCGATCAACGCGCTGAGCAAAACGCTGCTGTTTTTAATTTTAATTTTTTGCGATTTACGGGACGCGAAGACCGATTTAGGTGACAAGTGACCTACAGCGAACCGGCCAAGTTTTTGGAGTGCGAAACAGTCGAAGAACTGAGTGTATTTCATGTGTCATCCGCGGCGGCCTAGCAACAAGTGGTGGCAAAAAGGAAAAAGCGACTAAAAAAGTAAGATAAAAACAACTTCACGGTGGCTAGGCTTCCTCCGAATAAAGGCTACTGACTGGTATTTGGATTTAAAAACCACGCAGCAGCATCAGCCAGCACACTTTGGAAGCGGTGCGCGCAGCTTTTTGTGCCAGCGTCGCGCAATAAAACAAACAAAAAGTTAGAAACCCAAAAACGACAACAAAAACAACTACTGACAGGCAAAGCCGTTTGATCGCGAGCGTGTGTGTATATGTTTGTGTGTATGTGAGTGCCAAGCCATTATTTTTTCTGGTCTTATGACGTAAACCACCGAAAAAAATCAAAAGTGAGCACAGACGACACAGATATCAAAGCGAAGGTGAGCGCATTTTTTGTGTCTCTCCAAAAACTGGCTCATTTCTTGGAATTCCAGCGGTTATTAAAAGTCTTATTCCTTTTCTTTTTGGGCTTGTTTACATTTTCGCAGTTGCAGCGGCCTCTGAACTATTCACACACACACACACGCGTTTGGAGTTAGAAAGAGAGGGGCAGAGAAAGAAAGATGCGGTGCAGTGCCTTGTACGGCATGTAAACAAAATAGAGAAAGAGGCAATTGCTGTAAATTCTTTGGCAAAAGAAATCTTGTTGAAAGCATTTCCTCTGCAAATGCTTGTGCTGCTTAGCTTGGCTTTGCTCGGCGTAGCGACCTGAAAAGAAATTGTTGCCCTGCTTGAACTTGTCGCTCCAGTCTGCTGCCTCCTTTTCCTCCTCCTCCTCCTCAACTACTTTTGCTTCTTCCCACACACACATACTCCACTCTACAAAAAACACACACTTGAGCCTCATTCACAATTGGCCTTTTGCGGAGTCACAATAAATATTAAATTTGATTTCTCCGCCGCCTGACAATTGTGAATGATTTTGCCATTTAAAATTTTTACGAATATTGTTGTATTAAAATAATGAAACTATTTTAGGCACACTATAAATATTTACAGCCTTGCATGGATTTCCGAAGTTAGTCTCCGTTCTTGTTAAATTAATTTTAATAAAATATCGTTGAAAAGATTCCCTTGTGACGAAACAAGGTATAAAGGCTATTTTTCAGTGTAACGAGCAAGAACAATCCGCAAAACCTGTTGCTCGTTTGCCTTTTTTTACCCCTCTCCAGCTGCTGCTGGCCATTAGTGATTCATTAGATGTGTTGTTTAAAGCCAAAGCCGAAGCGTTCCCACCGCATCCTTCAATATTTAATACACACATAAATATATATGTACACATATAAGCCAATTCAAATGCTAACGGCTTGCATTTTGGCCTAGCCGAATATGAATCACACACAATAAGCCATAAATTCTAATCGCTCTTCACTCTCTATTCTCTATTTTAGCTCTCCGCATTTCGTGCTATTTCCTATTTTGGTCTGCGGTGATTATCGCATCATTTTGTAAATTTAGTGCGCGGTATTATTAATGAATTTGTCCAATTTGCTTCGTTTATTCGTGAGATTTTTTGTTATTTACGATTATAATCAGCAGTTTTCACGCTTCGAATGGTTTTTTTTACTAGCACAGTGGGTACATCGTTCCACTTTATATTTTTGTATAATTAGAGATTATTATTATAGGAATTTAATCCTCATTTTATGATTTAGTAAATTATATTTGCATTCGTTTTCTAAAAAAAATAAAATATTAAATGTTCACGTGGTAATTAATACAACTGAATTTGAATACCTAAAAGATTCCCTTTTAAAAAAGATCCACACATTGAATACCTCTCCTCCTTCTGGCAATGTAAAAGCTAATTGAAAAATCCACACCCTGAGGCATCCCAGAATTAATTGTAAATAAACAGAGCTGATAATGATCCACCACCACCCCCTCCCATTGTCCATGCATCGATTGCATATTCATTGGAAACTCATCAGCAATCAGAAATCATAGCCGCTTCACCTCTCGCCCGTTAAATGTAAACAAAGAACAGCTGTAAAAGTTTTCCTATTGAATCTTCCATATATTCTGCGCATGTCAGGAAAATGCCAAGTTGTTTTGGTTTAGTTTTCGTTTAGTTCTTATCCAAAATGCGTCTCAAGAAACTGGGGTGCGCTCAAGATTTTTGTCTTTTACAAAACTATACAATTTTATTAATTTGCAGAATGTCTCGTCAGGAAAAAGTAAAGTCAACAGGCGGTGGGATCCTGGAAAGCCTGTTCGGCAGACCCTCGAAATCAAAAGGAGGAAGCGTCAACAGTGGAACCCTAACTCATGGCGGACGACCGGTGTCATCGGACAATGACGCTGTGCAGGGCGTGGAGGATTGGGAGCGGCATATCCAGGAGCTGAGCGAGGCGCAGGTGGATGCCCAATTTCTGGAAATAATCGAGGATATGAATATACCCAAGGATAAGCGGGAGCCCTTGTTGGCCAAATCGAAGGAGGAGCGTCAGAAGATGATTCTGTGGCATTTAAAAGGTGAGGGATATGGACTTGACTTTTCTACTAAAACACCTAAGCGTTTAACATTTCTATTTAATTTCTTAAAATCCTTAAGAATGTATTCCTTTACATTTTAGAACTTGATATAGTTAGGCATATATCTTTTTATCAGATGGAAGATTTGGGTTGCAAAGAGCTTAGAATATCCAGTTGCTTAAAGTTTTGTGAGAATATACATAGGTCTCTTATAATTTGATTACATTTTAAGCTTGATTATATTTCAAGTATGTAGCAATTCTATAATTTCACACTTTATAGACTCAAGACAAAATTTTAGGCGCTCTGCGCTCTTTAAAAAAAATCGATTTGTCGTGCAACCAAGTTTGATGACTCTCTGCCCTTTCTTTGCTTTTGTTGTATTTCCTCGGAATATTGCATTCCATTTCATGATAAGATTAGCAGGTAAACGTGTACGTGTGTCTCTGTGTGTGCCTCACCTTTATCGGTGTTTGCGTGTCTGCAAATTTGCGCTTTCTGTTTGCACACCTTTTTGCTTTTGCTTTACCATCCGTCTTCGGTTCTATTTGTATTTATATCGCAAAACCGTTATTCACGAGTTTGTCTCTTTTAATTATTGTTGACAATTATTGGTATTGATAGCCATGATGTCAACGATCTCACTGATATCAATAAAATATCAATTATTACTATTTTGTGATATCTTAAAATATCATAAATGTAACATAATCTTTACTATTTTATACCATTGCAGAGTATTTTAATTTTAGTCAGAAGTTTGTATTTATATGAAGGAGTCTTTTCCGACCCTATAAATCATATATATTCTTGATCAGCATCAACAGCCGAGCCGATCTAGCCATGTCTAGCTAAAATTTAATTTTTTCAAAAATTTTAACATTTTTTAAGGGGTTACTTCGTTAAAATTGTCAAAAAATTACAACAAATTTTAAATTTTATTTAGAGTAGGCAGATTTATCAATCCAATCAAAACTAACATAGGAAAGCCTTTCGAATTAGAATTAATGCTTTTTTGGCTAAGTTATGAGATTTTTAAAGTTTGATTTGTCGAAAGAACATCTCAGAAATAAAACAGTATTTAATTATATGTATTTTCCATCTGTAATTGCGTTCTTCCATGGTAACCATGCCCCCCTCCATCGCTATCTAAATCTCGAGCATATTTCAATGTTAACTCGGCGCTTTTGGCTTCAGTCTTGAAGTCTCGCTCCAGTTATTTTTCCCACTGATCCATTGTGGTCCATTATCAGACTTGGAAATATGCCTAGAAGCAGGGCTTCTTATCGTTTTGTAACGGGTAATTGCGAAATAACCTTGGGCGATCTTTGCCCTCTCTTTGCCTCCCTCTTTTTTATCAAATATAATACGTAGCAATATACGACAAATGCGTGACTAAAGTCGAGCAGCAAAAAGCGAGAATGCAAAGACATTGAAATTTACTTTTACCATGCATATTATACAATTTAAATTACGTCAAGTGGCAGTGAGAAAATATTTTTGTTCGTTTTTAAGTATTTAACGCTCGTTCGTTCATTTTTGTTGTATAAGCAAGTGCATTGCGAATCGGTGGAGAAAAATAAGAAGCGAGGGAGAGAGAGACCGCGAGACTAGTACAAGGCAAAAGTGCACAGGAAAAAATTTCAAAAAACAATCTATTTATTAATTCGTATTAATAAAAAATTGTAAAGGATTTTGGAAGTTTATATATACTTGGCGGTGAAAATAGTATTGAATTTCTATATGATTTATAACTAATTTTATTTGCCGAGAATGTCGTAAGATAGTAACTTCGATGAGAGAGTTATTTATTTATTTTTTTACTCACAAATATATATATTATTATTCTCACAAATCGACTTCAGTGTAGTAGATGATAGCGACAGAGAGTGTTTATTTGTGCTTTTGCTCTATTGAGCAATTTTTCTTACACTTTGGAACCGGCCATAAAATGCAAATATGCGAAAAACGTTAAACACATTATGACAATATCAGGCTTAAAATAAATTCTGATGCTGTCAATAAACTTGAGGTAAATAAACATCGTCCGACTCTTACAGGTTGATAATGATAAACTCAAGAAATGAAACAACAAAAAAGAAAACAGATAAATTTATTCCTTTGTGGGTCGTTGTGTTTATTGTGGCAGAACGGAGCCCCTACTTCCCTCCCACCCCAGAAAACCACTTGTTGCGAAATTAAATTTAAAACATAAACAATGGACGTACTCGCATCAAAAAAAAAAAAGAAAAAAAAGAGCTGTTCATTAACACGCTTCGGTTGCCGTTTTGAGTTAATTAATAAAACAGTTAGCGTAGTTGGGCTTTGATGGATAAATGAATAATGTGTGGGCTGGGTTTAGGCCAATTTGAGTGATGTCAGTGGTGTGCAAGTAATCAAATAATGGGATAGGTGCTGTCAGAAAGGTTCCTCCCAAGGCTGCCTTTTTATTTGTTTTATATTGCCTTTTACCTATCCTTATCTGTTATTTTGAAGGTAAAGTTGTTAGAAATGAGTTTGTTCTCTTTTTTGTTATATAGTAAATAATCTATGATTGTTGAGTATAAACTGTAATTTAATAATATAAATTAATTAATTATACTTTAAAACCAATGTTTATGGCACTAAACTAATAATATAATAATGATAATTAATTAATTAACCGATTTCCCTATCTCAAAGTCGCACTTTACCTCTTAGAAAGAATGTGCAAAAGATAATGTTGAATGAATCATCAACGTTGATATGATTTTACCCATATAGAAATAGTCATAGTAGGGTGTTGTCGAAAGAGGGTCAACCCAGTTCTAAATACAACTTTTATAAGCAAAACCTTGACGTAGATATTTAATCTAAACATTAAACGAAACGTGAGCTGAATGACTAATTTACTTTTCGTTAACCTTTGTTTTGCTTAAATTTAATGGGGTTGTATATTTAAGGGCACTTTAATTGCTTTATTTTCAAACATACTGACGCTCTAAAATATAACTTTCAAAATATTACAACTGAAAATGTTTGTTATTATAGCATTGCAAAGTATTATAATATAAGGAAGAAGCTTGTAACGCAATGAAGGTGTCATTTCTGACCCTATAAACCATTTATATTCTTGATCAGTATCAAAAGCAGAATCGTATTATTTTTTTCTCAAAAAAATGATAAGGGGTTACATAGTTTAAATTTTCAAAAATTCGGAAAACTTTGAATTTTTTTTTTAATTTTAAATTGAGTATGTAGATTTTGTAACCGCATAAAAAATAGCATAGGAACGCTTTCCGAATTAAAATAAAAGCTTTTTGGCATATATATGAATTTTTTCATCTTTCATTATTAGAATAAATTCTAAATATCGCTTCAAAGAATACAAACATTTTAAGCTTAGTTATGATCGATATCCGATTCGATCTTATAATTTAATTGCAAACAGTAAGGTTAGACATTACTTTATTTAAGTAGCAAATTAGTTGGGATTTATTTATTTATATGTTATATTTAATTCGGTTGCCCTAGTGCAATCTTTATGAAGGCCCTGAATACACATCTTTAATCGCACCCGTCTTCCTTTGATACTTTCCAAGTAGTGCGTAATCGAATACCCTTACTAATTCAATTTCCGTTCTTTAATCTCTTGCAGGTAAGAATTCACTAGAGCGCAACACCAACTCCCGGTTTGAGAGGCCCATCGACTACGTGGAGTATCTGCAGAATGGAGAGCATAGCGAGCACAAGGTGTACCAGTGCGTGGAATCTTTGCGAGTGGCCCTCACCAGCAATCCGATCTCATGGATCAAGGAGTTCGGGGTGGCGGGCATTGGCCAGATCGAGAAGCTGCTGACGCGGGCCAAGAAGGATCGCACCTATGACAGGATTGAGTTTGAGGCAATTCGATGTCTGAAGGCAATCATGAATAATACATGGGGTCTGAATGTGGTCCTCAATCCGGATCAGCACAGTGTAGTCCTGCTGCTGGCTCAATCTCTGGATCCACGAAAGCCACAGACTATGTGCGAGGCTCTCAAGCTACTGGCATCCTTTTGCATCGTGTACGAGCGCAATGGCTATGAGAAGGTGCTTCGCGCTATTACCACAATAGCGGCCACATCGTACAAGGCCAGCGAACGCTTCCGACCTATAGTGGATGCTCTGTTTGCATCGGATAAGCAGGATCCCAAGCGGGAACTGGCCTGTCACAGTCTAATTTTCATCAATACTCTCACAAACACGCCCACGGACCTGAATTTCCGGCTGCATCTACGCTGTGAGATCATGCGGATGGGTCTGTACGATCGCCTGGACGAGTTCAAGAAAATTGTGGAAACGAGCAATAATGAGGCGCTGCAGCAGCACTTTAAGATTTTCAACGAGATCCGGGAGGATGACTTTGAGGAGTTCGTACAACGCTTCGATAATGTCACCTTCAATATGGATGATGCCACCGAGTGCTTTGAGGTGCTGAAGAACATGGTGATAGACACCACTTCGGAACCTTACTTCCTCTCTATCCTGCAGCATCTGCTGTATATCAGGGATGACTTCTACTTCCGGCCCGCCTACTATCAACTAATTGAGGAGTGCATCTCGCAAATAGTCTTCCATAAGGGCTATTGTGATCCGAACTTTGAGAACAGGAATTTCAACATAGACACCTCCCTGTTACTCGACGACATTGTGGAGAAGGCTAAAGCCAAGGAGTCCAAGCGATCGGAGGAGTATGAGAAGAAGATCGAGCAGCTGGAAAGCGCCAAGCAGGAGGCCGAGGCGAAGGCTGCCCATCTCGAGGAGAAAGTCAAGCTGATGGAGGCGAATGGTGTGGCGGCACCGTCGCCCAACAAGTTGCCCAAAGTAAATATACCCATGCCACCGCCACCGCCAGGAGGAGGAGGACCACCGCCACCACCACCGCCGCCAATGCCCGGAATGGGTAGAGGCGGACCGCCGCCTCCACCACCTCCTCCCATGCCTGGTATGGGCGGTGGACCGCCACCACCGCCTCCCATGCCCGGAATGGGTAGAGGAGGACCTCCACCGCCACCTATGCCCGGTATGATACGTCCCGGTGGGCCGCCACCACCACCGATGATGATGGGACCCATGGTTCCGGTACTTCCTCATGGCCTGAAACCTAAAAAGAAGTGGGAAGTGAAGAATCCTATGAAGAGGGCGAACTGGAAGGCTATTGTTCCGGCCAAAATGTCCGAGAAGGCATTCTGGGTCAAGTGTCAAGAGGATAAGTTGGCACAGGACGATTTTCTTGCCGAACTGGCCGTCAAATTCTCCTCGAAACCGGTGAAGAAGGAGCAAAAGGATGCAGTGGACAAGCCAACGACGTTGACAAAGAAGAACGTTGACCTGCGCGTGCTAGATGGCAAGTCTGCCCAGAATCTGGCCATTTTGCTGGGTGGATCGCTGAAGCACCTGTCATACGAACAGATTAAGATATGTCTGCTGCGCTGTGACACCGCCATTCTGTCCTCCAACATCCTGCAGAACCTTATCCAGTACTTACCACCGCCAGAGCAGTTAAAGCGCCTGCAGGAGATCAAGACCAAGGGAGAACCTTTACCGCCGATTGAACAGTTTGCGGCCACGATAGGTGAGAGGGGTTGAGCTTTCTTAAATATGAAACCATACTAATCGTTCTTCCTTTTTCAGGTGAAATCAAGCGTCTGTCTCCTCGCCTCCACAATCTGAACTTCAAGTTAACCTATGCTGACATGGTGCAGGATATCAAACCCGATATTGTAGCAGCCACGGCTGCCTGCGAAGAAGTGCGGAATAGCAAGAAGTTCTCAAAGATCTTGGAGCTCATCCTTCTGCTCGGCAACTACATGAACACAGGCTCCAAGAACGAAGCCGCGTTTGGCTTCGAAATCAGCTATCTCACCAAGCTGACCAATACCAAGGATGCGGATAATAAGCAGACATTGCTGCATTATCTAGCTGATCTTGTAGAGAAGAAATTCCCCGATGCCTTAACCTTCTACGACGATCTGTCGCATGTGAATAAGGCGTCGCGTGTGAATATGGATGCCATACAGAAAGCGATGCGGCAAATGAATTCGGCGGTGAAGAATCTGGAAACGGATCTGCAGAATAATAAGGTGCCGCAGTGCGATGATGATAAGTTCAGTGAGGTTATGGGCAAGTTTGCCGAAGAGTGCAGGCAACAAGTGGATGTGCTGGGTAAGTGTAACTAAGGGAGTTGTTATGTAGTTTCCTTTAATGGGATTACCTATATAATAATTTGCTTTTATTCTAGGCAAAATGCAGCTGCAAATGGAAAAACTGTACAAGGACCTCAGCGAGTACTATGCCTTCGATCCCAGCAAGTACACCATGGAGGAGTTCTTTGCGGACATTAAGACCTTCAAGGATGCCTTCCAAAACGCGCACAACGAAAATGTCCGGGTGCGCGAAGAGCTGGAGAAGAAGCGAAGACTACAGGAGGCTCGTGAGCAATCCGTCCGAGAGCAACAGGAGCGCCAGCAGCGTAAGATGGCGGTGGTGGACATGGATGCGGCACAGACGCAGGAAGGTGTTATGGACAGTCTCCTCGAGGCGCTGCAAACGGGCTCGGCCTTTGGCCAGCGTAATCGTCAGGCTCGAAGACAGCGTCCAGCGGGTGCGGAACGAAGGGCCCAACTCAGTCGGAGTCGGTCACGGACGCGGGTGAACAATGGTCAACTGATGACCCGCGAGATGATCCTCAATGAGGTTCTAGGCTCCGCGTAGTTTTGTTCGTTCAGAATAGAGTAGAAGCGTTCAAGCAATTCCCCTCTGTACATATATAAATAGACACATCTGTAGCGATCTAAGGAGCCTAAGGACATTAGCTGTGTACATCTGTAGCCTGGTTTACATATCAACTCAAACATATTTTTTTCGAGGAGTTTGGATAGCCGACAGGGAAGACTTTTAAAACAGCCGCAAAAACATTAAACTAAATATAAATGGGGATGTATTGGTTGGTATTAGATTTATGAAGCATTGCTGAAAGAATATTTGGACCAAATTCATGTAATTTTGTATATTTTCAAAATTTGTTTTGATTTTTTACAGCTCTTGTTTAATTTATAATTTGAATTTGTTTTGATTTGATTTAAAGTATATGAAAAGGTATACCTGCACCTAATTTAATAGACTTAAGCAACGGAAGGAGTTCAATCAAACATTATTGTTAATCCTTTTAATTTTGTGGACTTTTCACCAAACTAAGAACTCAGTAATGCTAAAAAAAAACAGAGACTATGCCAACTTTAGCTTCCCCAAGCAAACACATATATATTTTTTATACGCTTTTACTTCTGAAACTGAAAAACAACTGATTCTAAATACTTATGAGAAAAACTGAGTCGAAAGATGTATCGACAAACTTTATATTGTGGTTCTCTATAACTCTGTATTCCTATTCTATTGTGGCATGTTCCAAATCTAATGTTGCTGTGCACTTCGTTTTCGAGGCACTCACTATAGGGCGAGATATATTGTAATCGAAATGAAATTCCTTTTGTATTTAATTTCTTTTTAAGTGAAACTCTCTTTTTAAATTGTTTATTTTAATTTCCCAAATCCACGCTTTATACTTAACATTGTTACATAATGTCTATTTTTTGGACAACGATCGTATAATGAAATAAACTTAACAAAATACATAATGTGATTGAAGATGTGTTTGGTGAAACATTGATACGATGATTTAAATAACTATTTTAATATGCTTGTGGACAATGAAGTTCTGCAATAATTAAGTTTCATTTTCAAAATTGAACCAATAATCTTGGGAAATTCCGGCAAAGGTTTGGCTGCCAATTCCAAAAATAAATTCGGGCTTTCCATCCAAAAAAACGGTGACTTGTCGCTTTCCGTTGTCGTCCTTCTCCACGTTAATTTGTTTTATTAACAAAGATATTTTATCGCTAATGTCGCGGCACCCATAAAGGTGTTTGATTGTGCTGCTCGAGGAGGAGGAGAGTCGGTGGCTCGTACAACGCAAAATGCACTTGCTGGAGTGGAGCGAGTGGTGGGGTTTGGCTCGGGCCCGGGGCCAATGGCCATAAAACTCTCCAAAACGTTAAACGAACCGACAAACGGCAAATGCCGCGTACGACAAAGAACATCCACATCCATATTCACATCCGTCTGGCGACGTCGAACACATTATATATTATATACGAAAAAAAACCGTACAGATATAAGAGTTATCACGAGTATATCTGGTTAAGTCCGGGGCGGGGACACACATATCTCCAAATGGTCTGATTGCCTCTCAAGTTTTATATTTTTGGAGTCTGCTTTATGGGCCAATGGCGCTTGGCTTTGCTTTCTTTATGGATTTATTAACATAATTGAAGTAGAATGATAAATACCATCTCGAGTTCTTTACAGGTTGTTAATGTCAATAGAGGGGACAGATTCTAATTTATGATAGATAGATAGAGATGCATTAGAGTGTTTTAGAGATTCAAATAATCTTTCATTGATAAAAAACTATATTTAGAAGGGTTTCCATGATTTGGAAATTAAAAATAACGTTTTGTTAATTGTTAGAAGGAAATATAAAGATGTGAGTAATGTGAGAAACATTGTTTCTAAATAATTTTTTTAGATAAACTCAAGAAAGGAATTTGGAAATACATTAAAAATATATATATATATACATTGTTTTTAAAATACTTAAAAAACTACTTCTATTTTTGTTTATTAATCAATGATCACATATCCGAAGAAGGGTATAGTTTTTGCTATCTTTTAAAGAAGAACCTATTTTTGATTTATTTATTTATTTATTATTAAAATATTTTATTTATTTTATTTTTATTTATATGCTTAATGTATATAAGCATGTATATAATGTATTTATTTATTTATTATTAAAATACTTTATTTATTTTATTTTTATTTATATGCTTAATGTTTAATATTCGGTGTAATTCTTGATTGATCTTGAATACGTTTAGAATGGAGATCATAACATATGGCAATGTTTACATACCTTATATAGGGATTAGGCTTTTTGTGCCCCTAATGACTTCCAGGTAAAAATCTATCTTTTACCCTGTTACATGACTTGCCCGTGCCTGGGCCCGTGCCCGTGCCTGATAGAGGGCCAAGACCGAACCTTATAGAGCCCAGAGGACCTACCCTTACCGCGCAGGCCCAGCCCACGCAGTAAATTCCCCCGAATTGTTGACGATTTGCGAAAAAGAGGAAAAAAGTGCTACGGGTAAACAAAAATCGGGGCTGTGGCTGCCTAATTGTTGTGTGAACTTTATAGACCTCGATCGATGGGTAGGACCAGCCCACTAGCCCACCAGTACCACCACCTTATAAGCCTTGTTTGGTGTCCCCGAGCGACCGTTACGTTCGGTCTCGGGACTCAAAGGTCGTCTGTCTTCGCGCAATCATAAAATCACCTTTGTCCGCGATCCCTTTCGATTGTTTTACAATATGTTTTGTCTTAAGGACATTAAGGGGTTTTTTGTTTAGAAACGATCGATCCCAAAACCCAACCCCGAACCAGTTTTTGGTAGTTCCAGCGTTAATAAGTGAGTTTTAAGTACCGCCCTCGCGAGGCCAAATGCTTCTGTTCCCTTTGACCTTTTTTCAGGGATCTATCTCATGGTTATCCGCCATTGTGTCAGCTGCATTCACTTCTAATTATTTGACGCGACATTTGCCGTTTTATGATCACTCTCTGAAGATCATATTTGCGATCAATGAATGCATTTTTTATAGATCCTTGGTAATACGAGGAATTACTAGGATTACTCAATCGGCACGAGCTTAGCGCGTCTTGTTTAGGATTACAATTGGGATTAGCAAGGGAGAAACTATTTCTGCGGAAACGGAATTTTTAAGAATGGAAAAAAGAGAATAAAGGATAACAAGAGTGTATCTATATGAATATATTTATGTTTTACTGATAATTGGTAGAGAACTTAATAATAATAACACATCTTAATAATAAATATTATTGAATACATAACTTGATCTATATGAGATTTTTATATAGTTTATAGTTTTTCGGAAAATCAAAATTTAAAAAATGCATAACTAGGTCAATTCATTAATTTCAATTCTGAATGCTGTCCTGTGCTAGTTTTTATGAAGGTAACAAATCAGCATTCTTAATTATACTTGAAATTTTTGAAAATTTTAACGATGTAAAATCTTAAAAAAATCTAAAAAATGTCTAAAAAATAAATTTTCACTGGATATGGCTAGAACGACTCGGCTATTAATGCTGATCAATAATATACATGATTTATAGGGTCAGTAATGACTCTTTTACTGCTTTACAAGCTTCTGCCTAAAATGATAATGGGTTATTGCATTTAAATATTTAATTATTATTTTATATAATAATTTTTGGGAAGATTAAAGCTTAAAAATGTAATAACTCCACCAACAAATCAATGTTGATCCGAAAAGCTTACCTATGCTAGTTTTTATTAGGTTAATAAATCTGCATACTCAGTTTTAAAAATGTTTTAAATTTTTGACCATTTTAATGATGTAACCTCTTATCTTTTTCGAAAAAATGATTTTCAACCGGATATGGCAAAACGACTAGGCTGTTGATGCTGATCAAGAATAAATAAAATAAGCTGATGACTAAAATTATAATACCCCGCAAGGGTATAAAATTCTCCAACTTTTTTATGGATTATATAAACTGAATAAATTATAACGTAACGTAACTCCCCTAAATCAATTTTCTGTTACTTTTCATCAAATTTTTTTCAATCACCTTGCTATTAATATCAGTTCTTCTTCGCCTTTCAACGTTTACATGGCAATTAGAGATATAGCTTTACAACTTTATATTTTTAACTGTGGCGATATATGAACATATAGACTATATCGAGGCGCCCATATAAAACGACAATTGCTTGGCAAACAAATATCTGGACAATAGAGCACATCGTATTTGAACAAAACTATATGGTTTGTGTGTGTATGGAGAATAAAACCCTCAAATCAGGACGGTAAAACATGGATTGGTGGGGCACTTGAAGTTGGAGTCTAGGATCCGTTGTTATGGCCGTGGAAACATAATTTTATAGCCACTAATTGCGTAATGAACGCATATGTGCAATTACTTAATTAGCCAACGGCAATTGCAATTAAAGTACGTACAAATCGAAAGCGGCCCATAAAGGAAAAGGGGTTTTTCTTGGCCGAGAAACTACTACCGCTAATTGCTTACCTGGCTGAAAGGGGCGTGGCTAACATGGCTAACTAACCGCCAGCCATCGCAGCGCGCTGCCAGAAAGAGACGGCGGGCAGTTTGAACGAACGCAAGCCATCTTGAATTTTGAACGTGCAACGGAAATGAGGGTTAAAAAAGACCACTTTACGGCTGCTTGCGTGTGCCAGAAAGAGACAACTAGTGTGTGCGCGCGGGCCTTCGGTGGTTGTTTCTGCCTGAGCCGCTCCGCGCCCGGTTTATCTGCTTCTGTTGCTTTCGGTGGGTTTTTTATCAGTCACTTCAGTACGTGTTCGACTTGCGTACTGTCTTGACGTAGTAGTCGCTAACGCAACGGAATATTCATTAAAAAACAGAAAAGGTTCTTCAAAAAATTTAATTAAACCGCGTAAGTGAGTGCCGAGAAATCACAGTGAAATCGATTAATCGTTTGTGCATATGCATGTGTGTGTGCAGCTTTGAACTACACATCGCTAGAAAAGTGCTAACTGTAAAAATTGACAAAGAAGGCAAAGAGAGAAAAAATAACACAACTAGCAAGTTAAACGCATAAAATGTGCAATTAAAGATTGTCTTAAAACCAGAAGAGGAGATACCAAGACAACGAGCAAGGGATTAACCAGCGAAGGGATAAGGAAAAGGGATTAAACGTATAGCTGGAACATCAAAGCAACGGAGCAGATATAACCTCAAACATGGTGTCGCATTACTACAATACACTGCCCTACACGCAAAAGCACAGCGCCGCCAACCTGGCCTACGCCTCGGCGACGGGTCAGCCCTGGAATTGGACGCCCAACTACCATCACACGCCGCCGAACCACCAGTTCCTCGGCGATGTGGACTCCTCGCATGCCGCCCATCATGCGGCTGCCGCCCATCAGATGTACTACAACTCCCATCACATGTTCCATTCGGCGGCGGCGGCCAGCGCCGGTGACTGGCACTCGCCGGCCTCCAGCACGGCGGATAACTTTGTCCAGAACGTGCCCACGTCGGCGCACCAGCTAATGCAGCAGCAGCACCACCATCACCATGCCCATGCCGCGTCCAGCAGCTCGGCGAGTTCTGGAAGCAACAGCAGCACCGGCAATCCGGCCACCCAACTAAATGAGACCAACAGCAGCATTGGAGGAGGAGGCGGTGGCCCCAGCTCAGATGGAGGTAATCCCTCGGCTCCGTCCAGTCACCAGCAGCAACATATCGCCGAAGGCTTGCCATCGCCACCGATTACTGTTTCGGGCTCGGAGATCTCCAGTCCGGGTGCACCAACGTCCGCCTCGTCGCCGCATCATCATTTGGCCCATCATCTGAGCGCTGCAATGCTAACAACAACAATAACAATAGTCCATCTACCCACAACAACAATAATAACAACAACAACAGTGTGAATAACAATAACAACAGGACATCGCCATCGAAGCCACAGTACTACGAATGGATGAAGAAGCCCGCCTATCCCGCGCAACCACAGCCAGGTGAGTGTTTCAAAATGAAATAGAAGAAAATAAAAGAGGATGTAGTTCTTTTAAGAAACTTGGGGATTATAAGGAACACAAACTATTTTGATGTCAAAACAGTTTAATTAGTACGCTATTTCTTAGACAAAGACGTCTCGAATGCTTTGACCAAAAGAAAGATAAAAGATAATTTAATCCAGGGACAATCTGTTTAGTCCTACCAGTTTGTAAATAACGTTGAAGGTTTTGACTTTTTCCCAATTCAACCTCTTAGTCACTCCGATGAATTTGGGTATATAGTGGCCTGACCTTCGATTCCTCCTTCCCTGACTTATTTGGGTTTCTCCCGCATCCGCCTCGAATTTCGTAAATTCCATATATTTTGGCGTCACAGTGCAGTGCATTGTCTCTTCGTCGAAGCTCGTGCTGTTAGCGCTTCTCCCTCTGGATGTCTACCTGTATAAATGTAGGATTTTATAAGAAATCGTTTACCTGCCTTGGATCCAAGTCCAATGGCCAATTAGCTCATAAAAATCAAATTCTGGCCAAGCTCCATTTTTATGATATTCAGTTGAGGTCGACAGATCCCAGATTCGACGGCTTGATTTATGGGCTTATGCCCTTTTACACGGTAATGTGTATGAGTGTTTGTTTGCTTGTCCCATCTCTTTCTCTCTCTCTCCATTTTCGTCTCTATTGACTAATTTTGTATCGTAAATCAATTAAGTATAAAAATTCCTAAATGGTTTGATCAACTTTTTCAAAAAATACCTTACACTATTTAATAAAAGTCTAAACAAAGTGTGGATGAGAAAAGAATGAATGAAGTGCAGGGATATTGAAAAGATTTAACAAGATCTCACATTAATTAGTATTGTATAAGTATGTAAATGCAGGGGTTTCTTATTGTTTAAATATAAAGATTTTCTTTATGTGATAATGAGTATAAGTACACAAATGTTGCAAGAACTTGTTCTAGAGAAAGGGTAGAAACTTATTTAAAGCCAAATAACTTAGCTTAAAGTTTCCTTATTATTTAATTAATACTGCAGTTAATACTTTGTTTTCTGTTTTTATTGTCCCTTCACACTATTTGTATTTGTATAAACTTCTTTATTTATGCACAATATAACTCTACCTATAAATTATAAACACACAAAATTCTAGATTAATATATAATGGCTATATATCAAATTTAATGAAAATCTGTTGAAAACTGTAAAAGTTATATTTTTTTTCTTAATATTTTCCAATCGTTCCTATGACAGCTATATATATTTATATATATAGTCCACCGATTCGCCATGCTTCGACTTATATAGTAGTAAAATTATATAAAAGAATAACTCCATAGTTTCGCTCAAATAGCATGAGTTTATTCCAAAACAAATCTCGCGCACGCGAACTTATGATTCCCAACTAGTTCTAACATCCCCGGAACGAAGTGACTGCTGCCGACCAGGTCTCAGAAAATGTTGTGTTACAAAAGTTGCAAGTCATTGTTTATTAGTGTCAAAGTTAGTAACTGATCATACATACTTACTAGTCATAGTTACTTAATGTTCATTGATACTTACTGATCAAAGTTAATTACTGATCATAGTTACTTAGTGGTCAAAGATACTTACTGGTCATAGTTACTTAATGTTCATAGATACTTACTGTTCAGAGTTACTTAATCAGAGTTAGTTAATTACTGATCATAGTTACTTACTGATCATAGTTACTTACTGATCATAGTTACTTACTGTTTATAGTAACTTTCTGTAAATATGTGGAAAACTGTAAAAGTTATAATCTGTTTTGTGTATATAGAAGACTTACTGCAAAGTTTAATTGATATACCAATTTTTCGTGCAATTTCCTTCCATTTTGTTTACATTTTTCTCACATATCTAAGAAAAAAGAATAAGTAAATAAAAATAAGCAACAGCAATGCAAATGTCAATGCAGTACTCACAGACACACAAAAACTCGAAAGGCGAATAAACACTCACGATTTATGACCCCTGGGCGCATGTCAAGAGGAATATATGTATGAAGAAGGAGGAGCAGACGGGGTAAGACGGCGATATCGACAATATCGCCGATATCCATTAAGCCCATAAAATCTGTTGGTATGCAATTAACGTTTATGGCCCGTCCGTTGGTTGCTGTTGTTGTGGCTTAATCCAGCCGGTCAAGCCGACAAGGCAACTTAAGTTTGCTTTATTTATTATACAAAAAAAAAAAAAACGTTCACCTCTCTTGTTTGAGTATTATTATTTATGCATTTTTGTTGTCTTTGGGGTATAGTGATTGATTTATAGAATATATAGGTGAAATTATATTAAGTAATATGTTCAATTAGCTAACTTTCACTATCGATTATAGAAGAAGAGTACTTGAATTTCGATATAGCAATATTTTCTTCTTAAGAGATTAAGGTATTTAATCAAACCCTTCTAACAATTAGATAGTTTCCCATACAATACAATATCATTAGCAATGACTTTAATTTCCCAACCGATCGTTATTATTTCAATGACTAACACATATCGTGATTTTTAATGGAATTATAAAAGTTCCCCCAACTCGTTTTTTACTTTTTGTGGGGCATGTTGCAGGGCACGTTAGAGCGGGCCCCACTTCAATTTTGGGGTGTGGCAATAAAACAGCGACAATTTCCACGATTGTCGGTGGATCCAGATGCCTTGTTATACTTTTGTTTCAATGGTTGGCTGGCTGACTTGGCTCTGGTGGTTCTGGCAGGTTTTGCGATTAGATTAGCGAGTGGGAAATCAAATAAACGCCCGCCCTGTCAATAAGTCCTGGGTTCTTCTCACCCTCCAACTATACTATACTCCTCTATATGGTGGTTACGAGTTCTATTTTCTGTTGCTTCAATAATGTACCACCAACCCGGATTGATATGGAAACGTGGCCACAAAAAAAAGGAAAGAGTTTTTTTGTGTTATCTGTAAAAACGTCAAAAGCATTGTTGATAAGCGATTCCGTTGCGTTCGCGACGGGCATATTGATTAAAACAATATAGGGCCATAAACCAATAAAAATTAGTATTACTTCCAATAAAAACTAAATAGCGACATTTACGATCAAATCTATGCAATCATTATTAAATGGCAAGAAATTTTAGTTACCTTTCGGTTTTATTTCTTATTTACAACATGTGCAAAAAAGAATTTCAAAGAACTAAAATCCCCCAATGAAATCAAATCAGTTAGGAATCTAAAAAGTATTTGCCATACTTTATAATTTATATACCTTTTAACTTAATTTTTATTATAAAATAAAGCCTCATTAACTTTGGTAACTATAGTTTAAGTAACACTAATACAATCTTGCGGTTATTTTAAAACCCGTAACCCAATCTAAATTAATTTGCAAACATTTCGTGATTATTAACTACTTATATCTTAATTTTCAAACACCCCATAATTTATTATCGTTATAATTTCTCAAGAAAATATTTATTTATTAATCAGCCAAAGCAGGCTCTTATTGGGATTGTCTGTAGATTTTCAGCATTGCCCGTGTTGGGACATAAAAAACTAATGCCACCTGACACATTGAGATTTAATGTGTCAATATGCACAGAAAATTTATATCTAGTCACATAAATAATTGTATGGCAGAGAAAGAAATATAAAAAAAAAACAAAAAAAAGCAAGATAGAAATATATATGGCAAGGCATGGATTTATATTGTATTGAATACCACATTTGAAATTATTGTTGGATATATTTCTGGGCTGATTTTGGGGCTGGTTCCATGGGCAGGCGGCCCCAAAGATAAGCCATTAAAAATGGCCACTAGCTGCAGTGTCGAACTATGGTTCGTTTTGTTTTTTTGTACCTCCTTATCAGCACTATCAATGTTTGCCGTTGACATTTACCCTTCCACAATTCTATACCTCTCTTCCCTCTGCCATGTGTCGAAAATGAAGTCGAATTTTGGTCGGGACTGATCTATATAGTAGAAATAATGAGAGAGTGTTTCGTTCGGTTCGCTGGGTTTGATTGACATCATGGGATTAGCATAGAAACCAGCGGTTCTCCCTCTGTTTGTCACGGACTTGTTACCATTGTGTCATTTACTTTGGGCTTAGTTGTCCAAATACAGAGTAAAATCATGTTTGGGTGTATTTTCTCTCTCTTGCTATTTGTATTGGCTCTGATATTGGTAATAACCAGAAATTTGAGTCTTGTCGCTTCCAAAGCCCTCGGACACACAGACATATGTTATGTCTCTCTCTCTAAAATATATATAAATATACAAATATATATATCTGTCTTTATATTTGTATATGTTGTTCAATATATTTTGATATACCATTCGAGGTGTATCGAGTTTATATTTGAGGCGCCCGGGATTTTAAGAGCTTAATTTGGGTTTACGGCAAGCTTACGCAGCAAGGTGATAAATTAAATGAAAATGTTCAAATGAGCAAGGAAAATATAGTTAACAAGGGAATATATAGATTTTCATACAATAAACTTTGGGGAGCTACAGTTTATTAAATTATAGGATCGATCGGAATAGATTAAATAGAATTTGATTATATCTTTATACACATTTTTAAATGACAATTTTTTAACATATAAAGTTTCAGAATTATAACTAAGCTAAAAACTCAAACATTTTAATTCGGAAAGCTTTACATTGCTAGTTTTTATAAGGTTAAAAAATCTGCATACTCGATTTACATTTTTAGAAAATTGAAATTTTTGTCAGTTTTTGAAAATTTTAACGATGTAACCCCTTATCTTTTTTTTGTAAAAATTTAACAAATTGAAAAAATTAATTATTACCGTATATGGATAGATCGACTCGGGTTTTAATGCTGATCAAGAACATATATGATTTATAGGGTCGGAAATAACTCCTTCAAGTTCTAAATGAAATTATAATACTTTTCAAAAATATATACTATTTTTTAGATTCAGCAGCAAGATCTTTATAGATTCTTATGAATATTTATTTAAATTTCCTATTGCTACATTCTTTTATAATTTATT